ACCTAGGCCTGGCCCTAGAGAGGGTTTTCTAAAAATTCCAGCCAGTATTGTGGAAAAATTAGGGTGCAGCGATAAAAATCCTGTGCCCCCCCCCCCCCCATGGTTAGAGTATATATGCAGACAAGACAACTTCCGCTCCAGAATCAGTTTGTGGGCTAAAGAGAACGGCCGAAGACCATTTTGAACATTTAATGAAGAAATCTAAATAGTTTTTGCTATTATTTACAAAACGTAAATATGTGTGTAGACAACCTTAATTGTTTAATAAATATAATCCATAATGATTTAACCTATGCTGTACCAGATCATAAATTAAAGGATTAACAAAACACCCATAGATAGATACACAGACATATAAGATAGCTATAGATTTCTAGTAGATAGGCAGACTGAGAAGACAGATTCTTTTCAGATACACAGCTAAATATTGATGGGCAAATTCTAGATTGACATCGAGATATATTATAATTTAGACAGACTGGTGAAATATATATTGATAAATATCAGATTAAAAGAAGATATGATTGACTCATACTATTAGGAACGACAGCTAAAAAGGGGTGGTGTATTTTTCGACCTACGCAATTTTGATATACTCCACAAATTCTGACCATACGCCAGATCCACTATACTACACATCCGACCTACTAGCACGTGGTTTTTCATCTGCAGCATGGACTTGTAACCGCAGCGTCCCGGCCACCTAGCCTGTCCTAGCTGCGGCGCTCGACCCCTAGCCTGTCCTAGCCGCAGCGTTCAACACAGAAATTGTCTTAACCTAACCTAAACCCTTAAATAATAAAGATATAAACAGATGGCGTAGGTCCAATATTGCAATAGGTCGGAAAAGGTCCGAAGTTCAGTATAGTTGCGAATACGATATAACACTAACATTACCCTAAAAAGTAGCTAGATGGAAAAATTGTAGATTAGCGCTTACTGTTTAGACAGACAATAAGAAAGTTAGGGATTACGCTGCGTTAGAGAGACAGATCGATAGATACGCAGGATACGCAGTAAAACAACGAAATATAATGAAAGATAATTAGATAGATAGATAGATACGCAGTAATACAACGAAATATAATGAAAGATAATTAGATAGATAGATAGATACGCAGTTATACAACAAAATATAATGAAAGATAATTAGATAGATAGATAAAGGAATCGACAGCCAGGGCATGTTTGTGAAGCATGGAAGATCAAAGAAGCAATAGATGGAAATAGTTTCTAAACTAGATAGATATATAGATAGATATATGGATAGATAGATAGATAGATAGATAGATAGATAGATAGATATATAGATATATAGATAGATAGATAGATAGATAGATATATAGATATATAGATAGATAGATAGATAGATAGATAGATAGATAGATAGATAGATAGATAGATAGATAGATAGATAGATAGATAGATAGTTTAAATCAACACATTATATATACTTGCTCATTTGAACAATTTTTCTATAAATTCAGATTTTAAAATTTTGTTATAATTCAGGAAGTTAGATCATACAATTAAAGATATTATAAACAATTAAACAAAATTACAAAGAAATATTTGAAATGAACATAGAATATATTTCAAATGAAAAGAAAAATAGTTCAAATGAACATAAACAAAAAAATGGTTCAAATGAACAGAAAAATTGTTCAAATGACCAAAACAATAGTTCAAATGAACAAAAAATAGTTCAAATGAAAAAATTCAAAAACCAAAATATTTCAAAGGACACAAAAATAGTTTAAATAAACCAGAAGATTGTTCAAACGTAATTGTATTAATTATAGGTTAGGTGACAGGCTAATACTATTCATTGGCCAAACTGCCACTAGGACAGGATATGGGCCCAGCGCTGCGGCTAGTAGCTCAAATGAACATAAAATAGTTCTATTGAACCAAAAAATAGTCTGAACATTGTTTTGCTTCTGTAAACTATATTTCATTTAGACTCATGAATTTATTTGAATTTTTCTAGAAGCTTTTTTATGTTATGCATTTAAACTATTTTTTGGTTCATTTGGACTATATTTTGTTCATTTGAACTATTTTTATGTTTATTTGTAGTATTTTTTTGTTTTACGATTTTTCCTTGGAACTATTTTTTTCTTCAATTGAATAATTTTTTTGTTCATTTGTTTGAACTACTTTTGTTTAGTTGAACTAATTTTTTTCATTCAAACAATTTGTTTGTTAACTTAAACTTTTTTTGTTCATTTTAACTATTTTTTTGTTCATTTAAACCATTTGTGTTTTATTTGAACTATTTTTTTGTTTATTTAAGCAATTTTCATGTTCATCTGTAGTTTGTACTATTTTTAAGGGTCATTTGAACTTTTATGTAAATAGATCAAACGAACCAAAAAATTGCGCAAATGAGTACGTATACAAACTCGTTTAAACCATTGTTTGTTTAAACTACTAAATTGGTACCACGTGCAGTAGTTCAAACGAACTATAATTCAAATGAACAATAGTTCAAACGACGGTAGTTCAACCAGGTATTGGGAAGGAAGGGTGGGGAGGTTTTTAGATAGAAAGGTTAAAGGTAGGGACTAGGGAGGTAGGTTCTATGTTAGGGAAAATTTAAACGATCCCCTTTTCTGTTTTTATGTTTTATATTCTTTAAAAATTATATTGTCTTTATTATTGTACTATCATATGGTTCAAATCACAATTGTTTTAAAAAGTTATGAAATATCTGACATTTATTGGAATTTTTATGCATTTTTAAAATTAATCTTAATACCAATTTTTTATTTTAGCAATCCAGCCTGTTTTCTCAAATTATTGATAATCATGCTGCTAAATTGATAGTTTTTTAATGATACGAGTGACATCGAATGAATTCGAGTTTTAATCAAAATTTAAAATTCGGTTTAAAAATATTTTAAAGAAAGATGAAGAAGGAGGTTTTAGGACTCAAGAAGTTTTGAAGGGGATTAGGAGGGTGCAGGGGGAATTGTTTAAATATGGGGGAATTCTCGTATTTACCCAGGGGAATTCAGATTAACCGTCAAATCATCCAAACTTTACTTTTATCGAAGGGATACATATTAAATATATCCAGGAGTCGGAAAAAGTCCAAAAGGGGCGTATACATGATTTTTTCCCGGGGGGTGGGGGGTCAACCATACTTTTGTATCCCTTCCAACCATACCTCTGTTTCCCTCAAACAATACCTCTGTATCCCTTCTTCACTTGTTTAAACCTTTCCTTCTTCAAACCTTTTCTATACTTCATTTCATCCTTTTCTATACTTCCTCCTTTCCTGATCAAATCTTTCTTATTCTTCATTCTTTCCTTGTTCAAGTCTTTCCTTGATCGAACCCTTCCTATACTTAATCCTTTCCAATTGTTCAAACCCAAGGAGAATTAATAGCAGGAGGGGGCGATAGGGTTTCCATATACGTTGATGTGACGTTTTTGAACTGCTGAAGAACTAGTTTTTGCGTAACAGCAATCAGAGGCGCAACTAGGGGGGGGGGCGGCCGGGCGCGCGCCCTCAAAATAATATATTGCCCCCCCCCCTAGCAAAAGTCCTAGTTGCGCCTCTGACAGCAATAATATGATTGTAAGCAATAACACAAATGATACAGACATCTGGTGCATCTCTGGCGTTATAGATGAAGATTCACCGTATACTAACTCATGTTTGTTTACATTAGATCGGCTGCCTTTGTTATATTGTTGTTACGCAAAAACTAGTTCTTCAGCAGTCCAAAAACGTCACAGCAAAGTGTACGGAAACCCTATCGCCCCCTCCTTCTCAATTCTATTGTTCAAACCTTTCCTATCCTTCATCCTTTCCTTGTTAAAGCCTTTCCTATCATTATGGATTAGGAAGGGGCGAACGGCCGTTTATCCACTCCCCGTTTCGGCCTTGTCTGTATCCACTCAGACAATATCAAATCTCTGTATCTTTCTCTGTATCTCATCCCTGTGTATCCTTGCTTAATCTTCTCATTCAGTTTTCTTGGAAAATTCTTAAAGAAGACGACATTGATTAACATTTTCTCTGCGCAGATACCGCTGTAAGTTCTAAAAAATTTCTATATTTTGATTCAAGAAAACACTAATTTTTGATTTCGCAATCAATTCAGTGGAAAAATAAACAAACTGCATTGTTGACAGTGTCTAAAAAGCGTGGTTATTTCCTATTATACCGTACAATTTTTGTAAAAATAAGTTATCCTGCACTGTACAAAATTGAAAGCGAGGGGGTGGGGGGTCCAAAAATCGTACAGGACGGACCCAAAAGCGTTTGCAAGAGGAGGGACGGAATTTCTTGGCTGTTTTCACGTGGTTAGAAAGAAGTTTAAGTTGACGATTTGCTAAAAACGTTTATTGATAATTTGTTTGCAGTTTTCGCGTAGCAGAAGGATTTAATTTCATTCAGGAGAACGGCGACGGTTGAGGTTTATTAAGTTGAGAATTCTTAGAACGTTTTCATACTACGTCCACTACATGTTTCGATTTTTAGATGGTCGATCTGTGCTTCTCAAGCTGAGCCCATTCTGTTGCCAGTTGCAGTTCGTAGTCTGAATTCATTTTTAAGCAATCTCTCTCCGTATTGGCGGTAAAGCAAAGTTGTTAAAAGTTGTTGAAAGTTGAAGAATCATTGAGTTCTCATGTTTATTGTGTCACTGATTTGCTGAAGAATGCATGTGAAGCTAAGAATTTTTATTTCTCTCGGGAGCATCTCTAATTCTCACAACGAAGAGAGAAATCTGTAAAATTGGATAGTTCAGCTTTTTTTAATGAGTTCGATCAATGATGAAGAGTATGAACTTATCAGTAATTGATTTGATTATGTTTAAAGTATTCCAAATCGTCTAATCTTATTTATTTCCTAGAATATGATCAGTTTAATTTCTCAATTTTTTGCACACTAAATAGTCATTTTTTTACACAAACTTCGAAAATGAGTCAGTTCTTCTTTAAATACTGATCTGTTAAAGTGCATATTTTTTGCTACATCAGGCTTTTTACATTTTATATTAGGCCTGCTTTTATTTCAGATAAAGATGGAGATTGAATCTCCGCCCCTTACTGTGCCTCCTCAGCTACCACCACAACAGGAACAATTGTCAGGTAGTTAGGTGGGTTGATTGGTTGGTTGGTAGGTAGGTAGGTAGGTTGTTGGGTAGGTGGATTTGTTGATAGGTAGTTAGGTTTTTTGAAGGGAAGGCAGGTATGTGGGTTGATAGTTTGGTAGGTAGATGGGTTGGTTGATATTTCGGTAGGTAATTGAGTAGGTTTAAAGGTAGGTATGTGGGTAGGTTGATATTTTGGTAGGTAGGTGGATTGGTTTATTAATAATGCCAAATAAGTGTTGATTTCATGTTAAAACTAGTCAAAACTGCTTTGCAACTGATTTAAAACTGTCAAAAAAGATCTGTAAAACTTATATTTCAGGTGTGGCGGTTGTTATCATTATCGGTATAGGTGTACAGACAATTATTATTCTGTTTATATTCTCGAAACGACAGATAAACCGGTTTTCCCTTCGGGGGCGTAGAGGTCCCCATGTCTCGGTTGGACAAGGTAATACTTTTTTTTAGGGATATACAGGGTTACCCACAAATTATGAGACTTCAATCTAAAAGTAAAGTTCAATTTTTAATCTGCTGCTTTGATTTTGATGCTATGGTTTCGCTAAGAAAGAAACAATGTTACTGCATGAATATTGATTTTTCTAAGTGCGCCCAGTATATTATAAATCGTGTTTCTCTTATAACCTGCCGGCGGTCTGGGGGGTTCATAACGGGACCTCTTTTTCAGATTTCTTTTCTTATAGTTCTTATATTTTAAATATTCCCATTCAACAATTTTGCACTATTTTTAAAATGTACAAGGCGTTGAAGGCGTTTAGGACGCTTTGCGCCCATCTTCTATTTCAATTGTGAACATTTTCTCTTTGTACAAAATCAAAAATGTTTGTGGATTTAAAAAAAATATCGTGGATTTTGAAAATTTTATGAAAATTGAATTTTGTTGGGTTTAAATATTTGAAAATTCGATTAACCATAAACCTTTCCTGGTGTCATGTGAGGTCCCACACAAAACTTGGACCCGATCGGTTCACCCGTTATTACGTTTATTGGATACAATCAGACAGACAAGCAAAGTATATATATAGATTAAATCAATGATTGATCAGGTGGACTGAAGCCTCTACGGAAAGAGATAGATCGAAGGATCGAGTATGCGGCACACATTAGATTTGAACCTAGAACTCAACCTATGGATAATACTGAATCAAGTGAGAATATTAGGTACGTTAGGTTTAAAAAGAATGATTTATAAATGGCCTCCTATTTTTTATTTTCAAGCTGGTAAAGAAAAAATATAGGTCGATTGTTAAATGTTCGAAAATATGAGATTTCCAAGTCGGGGTTTTTGCTCTAATTATATACAATATGCATATATGTTGTTGATAACCGGGGTTTCTCAAGTATTTTCTAAAGTTCCTGAAAAGAAACATTTTCCTTATAAATCGACCGACTTACTAGTATTTGGGTAAATAAACTTTTTTTTATTTATTTAAAATGAACATATTTAGTTAAAGAGTATTGTTTTTAAGGTTCAGAGTTGCAGCTGTTGATAGGTAAGATAATATTATTAAAAACGAAAGTGGGACCGTGGTGGGGGGGGGGGGGGGAAGGTCCAGAAATACAGGGGTTTATATTTTTTCGTTTGGCAAAAATATGGTTTGGGGAAAAATGAAGAAGAACGAAGGACAAATGAATGGGGAAGAGGGAAGGCAAAATTAAAAAGGATAAACTGATTTTTTATCCTTTTAAAAGTCGCTAACACGCTCCATCATTGTAAGACCAAAATCTAAAAATGTTCTTCTACTTTTGCGTGCGAAGTTTGCGCGGGTTGCGCCCCCTGTAAAAAGAATTATTCTAGGGGGGGGGGGTGAGGGTGTACAAAAATATACTTTAAAAACAATAAACCTGTGGCCCGTGGTATTTTAAAAAATCGTACAATATGCTGCATGAAGGGACCTCCTGTGACTAAACGTCTGAGGAAGTAGCCATATTTTTTCACAGTGGTCGGAGTTTTATCAAAACAAAGAAGACGAGTTTTCGATTTATGTTTTGATTTCTTACAGGTTTTTTCAAATTTCAAGTTATAAGGGAAAGAAAAAGAAGCTGAAAATTGACAGCTTCTCTTGTTTCTATATTTATGTGTATCAATGCTGTTTGAAAGCTTGGTAAGAATCAAAATTGAAATCGAAAGTCGTTTTCATTGCATTGATAAATATGACGATGACTGTATGTTACTTAAGAGAGTAAATGTAAATTATTTATCACAGTTACCTCTCATCAAGTCTTGTTTTGCATTTGCCGGCTTAAACAATTAGCATACAAACACAAACATAATTAAAACTTTGACATATTCTGCGTATTATTTTTTTAGTCAGCTCTCGGTATTCATGCGTACACACTTACATTACATACTATTCGACGGTCTGAAGATTGTAAAATGTAGAGTATCTGAGTTAAACAAATCACTGGGAGTATATGATCTATTTAGAATATCTGAGTTAAACAAATCACTTGGAGTATATGATCTATTTAGAGTATCTGAGTTAAACAAATCACTGGGAGTATATGGTCTATTTAGAGTATCTGAGTTAAACAAATCACTGGGAGTATATGATCTATTTAGAATATCTGAGTCAGACAGATTACTGGGAATATATGATATATTTAGAGTATCTGAGTTAGACAGATTACTGGAAGTATATGATATATTTAGAGTATCTGAGTTTGACAGATTACTGGGAGTATATGATATATTTAGAGTATCTGAGTTGGACAGATTACTGGGAGTATATGATATATTTAGAGTATCTGAGTTAGACAGATTACTGGGAGTGCATGATATATTTAGAGTATCTGAGTTGGACAGATCACTGGGAGTGTATGATATATTTAGAGTATCTGAGTTGGACAGATTACTGGGAGTGTATGATCCTGAATACTGGAGACCTGCAGGCGCTAACCTTAGGTATGTCAACTATATAATATGCAAAGACATTACATTGGGATTGTTTTTTTTTTTTTGGTAAAATGTATCAAAAAGAGATAACAACTTTCTAGCGGATGTCCAATTTTTCATTTTGTCGTTGTTCTTTAGAATATCTGTCTCGTTTCATCCTTTAAGGGATGTGAACCTAATATTAATTTGCTCTTTAAGAATAATTTGCTCTCATCAAACATAAAACAATTTCTTTTTATATATAGACTTCCACAAAATAGAAATGGACGTTGAGGTTTTTCTGTTTTATAAAACTTTTTCAGATCTTTTCTTATCGACTGTTTGGCTGGCCCATTAGTAGGAATAGAACCAAAGGTAGGGTCTTATTGCCTTCATTACCCTTTACTCTGTTAAACGTTCTTCCTCCTGTGTAACCAAGTTTACACAGTTTCCTTCAGGATTTTTTGACGGTTTCTATTCATAGGGTAAGATTGAAACTTGGTGAAATATTAACAGTTTGAATGACAGGGAAGAAAGTTACTAACGAATATTTGGTCCAGACCTCACACTGAGTGTCAGGTTTGGAACTTTCTTCTCCTGTATTAATGGGTAAACTTTTATTTCATCTTAAAAAAAAAGTTTCTCTCCTTTCCCACCAGAAAGTACTCTTCTTACTTTATATGTTAAAAAAACTTAGCAGAAAAAATTGGAGTTTTATGTTTCCATTTTTAAAAACATTTTTGAATAAAATCAACCACTGTTTGTCTGTTTAGAAAATCCATAGTTTCTGTGACCTTTACGAGGCAGCCCGTCACAGTTATAAACCTTTTCTGCAGCAGGACCTTGACAAGTTTATTCAAGCACTTCAAGCACTTAAATCTCAGGTATATTACTAGTATATAAACCAGTATATTCAAGCACTTAAATCTCAGGTATATTACTAGTATATAGACCAGTATATTCAAGCACTTCAAGCACTTAAATCTCAGGTATATTACAAGGATATTGACCAGTATATTCAAGCACTTAAATCTCAGATATATTCTAGTATATAGACCAGTATATTCAAGCACTTAAATCTCAGGTATATTACTATTATATAGATCAGTATATTCAAGCACTTAAATCTCAGATATATTCTAGGATATAGACCAGTATATTCAAGCACTTAAATCTCAGGTATATTACTAGTATATAAACCAGTATATTCAAGCACTTAAATCTCAGGTATATTACTAGTATATAAACCAGTATATTCAAGCACTTGAATCTCAGGTATATTACTAGTATATAGACCAGTATATTCAAGCACTTGAATCTCAGGTAAATTACTAGTATATAGACCAGTATATTCAAGAAATTAAAGCACCTAAATCTCAGGTGTATTACTAGTATATAGACCAGTATATTCAAGCACTAAATCTCAGGCTATTATAAAGATTAGAACTAGTCAAAGACATTTTAAGATTAAAATATTATTTACATATTGGGGTCAAATAAAGTGTGAAGAGGGAGCTGATTTATTAAAGACTATCTGAAGAGCCCGTGGAAAAAAATTTGAAAAGAAAAATTGAAAAAAAAATTGAAAAAAAAATATTTTCGAATTTCTTCAGCCTTTAACATTCCCCAGCTACCCCTTAGTGTCCACAAAAAATTTCAGCCCAATCGGTCCAGCTGTTTGGCCGGCTATACACAACATATATATATATATATATATATATATATAACTTATAACTATAAAGAAATAATCAGAACAGCTTCTCAGTTTTCATATTTATTGAAATACAAATTGTTTCAGATCTCTCGATCCTCATCAGTCAATAAACATGGGTTAACTGATGTTTTACGACAAATATTATGGATTTTCTAAATTTTTTTTAACGGATTTTCAAGAAATTAATTGACAATTTCAAAAACTTTACTTAATAAAAAAATAACTAAGGAAACTGCAGTAACACATGAGAGTCTTCACATTATCCCTGGCCAGTTGGTATCTTCTGGTTTGGTTGTTTAATGGTTGCAGACAGAAGGTATTTTGCTCTATGTCTACATTTTCCCAGCAGTTCACTTCTCTTGTTTAACGGGTTTTTTTCTTCTCTAAACAGAATAATTGTTTTCTCCATGGTACATATATATATATACGAATGTCTTGTTTTTAATACAGATAATTTATATCCCTGTATCTCAAAGTATTTAATTTTGTATAATTTTTCAGGTGACGTTTAATACCAGCAATAAACCTACAACACCTAAGAAAGGGCTGGGGACTCCGGTTCACAGGTTGGATTTTTAATCTATTATAAAATATTTTTAATCATAACTGTCTACAAGAGGATAAGTTGGATTTTTAATCTATTTAAACTATTTTTTAATCACAACGGTCTACAAGAGGATAAACTATATTTTTAATCTATTTTATACTATTTTTAATCATAACGGTCTACAAGAGGATAAACTATATTTTTAATCTATTTTATACTATTTTTAATCATAACGGTCTACAAGAGGAGGATAAGTTGGATTTTTAATCTATTTTATACTATTTTTAATCATAACGGTCTACAAGAGGATAAGTTGGATTTTTAATCTATTATAAACTATTTTTTAATCATAACGGTCTACAAGAGGATAAGTTGGATTTTAAAACCATTTTTTAATAACAACGGTCTACAAGAGGATAAATTATATTTTTAATCTGTTTAAAACTATTTTTAATCATAATGGTCTACAAGAGGATAAGTTAGATTTTTAATCTATTTTAAAACTATTTTTTAATCATAATGTTCTAAAAGAGGATAAGTTAGATTTTTAATCTATTTTAAAACTATTTTTTAATCATAATGTTCTAAAAGAGGATAAGTTAGATTTTTAATCTATTTTAAAACTATTTTTTAATCATAAAGGTCTACAAGAGGATAAGTTGGATTTTAAAACTAATGTTAAATCATAACTGTCTACAAGAGGATAAATTGGATTTTTAATCTATGTTAAAACTATTTTTTTATTCTTAACGGTCTACAAGAGGATAATTTTGATTTTTAATCTATCTTAAAACCATTTTTTAATCATAAAGGTCTACAAGAGGATAAGTTAAATTTTAAATCTATCTTAAAACCATTTTTTAATCATAACGGCCTACAAGAGGATAAGTTAAATTTTTAATCTGTTTAAAACTATTTTTTTATTCTTAACGGTCTACAAGAGGATAATTTTGATTTTTAATCTATCTTAAAACCATTTTTTAATCATAAAGGTCTACAAGAGGATAAGTTAAATTTTTAATCTATCTTAAACCATTTTTTAATCATAACGGTCTACAAGAGAAGTATAAGTTGGATTTTTAATCTATTTTCAAACTATTTTTTAATCAAAACGGTCTACAAGAGGATTAGTTGGATTTTTAAAATTTCCTTTCTTGTCTCTGATACGTCAATCCGTAAGTCGTTGTTATAGGAGTAAACCTCAGTTTAAAATTTTTGAATTTTCAGATAAAAAACAATGATAATCTCATAATTTTTGCTTGGACGAAGATTTAAGTGTATCGTTGTGAACTGGGGTTTCCCCGCTAAATACGAAGGGTTAATATTCCAGTAGTTGAATCTGAAAAGTAACTTTTAGTTGACGTCCTTCATTGACTCAGCACCGAAATAAAAGTAAATTGATTTCAAAAGAATGGGACCGTTATGAGTGTCTATTTCTTCAGAATAATAGCAGGATCCTTCAAACCATTTTATCTAAAATTCGTAATTAATACAGAAATGTCGAGCTACAGATTTTTAAATACCAATTGTTTATAAATATTAAATTGCAAATTATGAAGATCCTTAGCCGACAGTTTCTAATTAAAACAAAATAGAAGACAAAGAAAACTCCATTTATTTCTGGTTCTTACTGTATCTTGATCCAAAAAATGACTTAGCTTTATGTTAACTTGTTTAGACGAGCTGTGAACCGGCCACGTCGACGATTGGTCGGGATGGAAGGAGAAGATTGTACTGTAGTAATAAACAGGAATTCGTCCACGGTTCTTCTTACTGTTGATTCACTTACTACAACCCACAGCACCTCGGTATAAACCGATCACGGCCAAAGCTAAGAAATTTACATTTTCTCCTTAAACCTGGAAATCTTCGCTTGGGGTTTTAACTTTCAATGCAACTGAACTATAATATTTTCGTCGTCTGAATTAAATCCTTGATAAGTTATGTATAAACCAATTTTTTTGACCAAATTTAGTTTAATATTTATAATTTCTTAACCGAATTTAGTATTATATTTATAATTTTCCGTTCAGATTTGGAGGATTTTTATTACTTATACTTTAGATATTTTTAAGGTTATATATTTTAGTAACCAATTATATCCCTTTGTTCCCTGGAGCACCTTTTTTTACTGCTGAATGTTTTAAGGGAAAATAAATAATTTTTTTGGGGGTAAAAATCAAAAAGGGGAAACAACTTGCCACTTGCGGTTCAACTTTAATTGTTCCCTCTTATCTTTAAAACTAATTGGTTCAAAACATTTAAATATTTGCTCATAATTGATGTCTTCTTTTAGTATTCTAAAAATAACTTATCGAGCTTTTGTTGAAAACTTTTATCAATTGTACAAATAAGATATATATAAGATAATGTACAGTTTCTGTCATATGAACAATAATTAATGAAATGTATAATATTATATGATTGTTTCAGACATATGATGACAGATTTTAAAGATGAAGATGTTAAGATACGACCAGCAGTTAAAGAGGATTGTTATGTTATCAGGTATTTAAACATTTATTCACATTTTAAGATGGTCGGAAAAGTTAGGGTAAAAAATACAAAGCATTTTTTTATTTTGATAATTTTTTCTTTTTTTCTTTTTCCAATTCTTTTTTTAATACAGCTCATGTACTCTGTACAGTTTACACTAGGCTGACCCAAATCACCCTTTAAAAAAATTAGCACACAGGCCCAAGTTGTTTCACATGCATATAAGATTTCCCCCCAAAAAATTCAGATGTCTAGGAAGCCATTAGCACTCAACATCTACATGTAAAAATCAAAATATTGCTGAACAAATATTCCTTGTTACACTGCAAAAGTGTACTCCCCAAAAAAACAGTTTTCAAATTAGACCTCTTAGTGCTCAACTGCTACCTGAGCAATGTACTATCTACCTAATTCACCTTAGCTATGAATTATCCATCTAATAATCTAATTGACCCCTTAGATATGAACTTTCTACCTGATTGACCCCTTTCTATAAACTATCTATTTGATTGACCTTCTGGTTAGAAACTGCTTCCTGATTGACCCCCTATCTATGAATTTCTTCCTAATTGACCCCCTAGATAGAAACTGCTTCCTGACCCCTAGATATGAACTGATATCTGATTTACCTCCTAGCTATGAACAATATACCAGATTGAACCGGCCACTAGCTATTTACTTTCTACCTGATTGACCCCCTAGCTATGAAATGATATCTAATTGACTTCCCATTTATGAGCTACTACCTGATTGGCCTCCTTGCCATCAACTATCTACCGGGCTGACCACTTAGCAATGAACTGCTACATGTTTGACCTCTTTGCTATGAGTTACCTTGATTAACCTCTTTGCCATGAACGGCTTTGTTGATACATATCATTATAAGGACCAACCCCTGTATGTGATATTGTTTATGAGCATATAAAACTGATATAGAAAATATGCCGGAATTAGAACCGAAATTGCTAAAGCCTAAAAGTACCTGAAGCCAGTACTTATTGCCTGGTATAATTTTTTTCGTCAAAAAGTGAAAGATAAAGGCCCATTTCTTGGGGAGGTGCTCTACATATCCCCCCTGTAACCATTTGAGTCTGTTCAAATATTTTTTCGATTTTAATACCCTAAAAATGAGTAATTTAGTTATATATAAGAAAAAATGTCCTACGATTTTCTCAAGAATAAAAATAATCTTCGGTGCTCTGTGGAAAAATTGAAAACAAAAACAAAATTTGTTTTCCTCCTTTTTGACTTTTTGCCAAAAAATAAGTTATACGTTATTCATTTATTTATTTCAGCAAATAATGCTAGGATCGTGTGCAAAACATTTGGGGAAAAATTATTTGTAATAGGATGGGGGGAGTGGATTTTTCAAGAAATTATGAACCCCTGCTTAACATGATTGAGGGAGGGCAGGGAGTGACTTTTTAGAAAATATAAATCCTGACTCAAGTTTGAGTTTAGGTCGTTGATCCAGGAGCTGGCTGATTACGAGAAGATGCCGGAGGGTCCCAAAATCACTGCCGAGGATTTAATCAGGTTAAAAGGGACTGTCTTCATTCGATATGTTCGATTCACAACAATACTTCTTAATCTGATGTGGAGGATATCGTCGTTATTCTAGCTTGTCTTACATCGTTTCTGGAGCAGATATGCTAAGTTCCCTTTTCTAGAAAACAAATTGGTAGAAATAATAATTTTTTTTCTGTTTGTGATCAGTCAAACCTTTTATGGGTATCGTTGTGATTTGTAATTGTGAACCGGACACTTGAATTTACTGGTTCACTTCCTTTAATATTTTACCTTCTTCCGGATTATACAGCATGAATTAAATAATTTACCCAATGGCGGAACTAGGGGGGGGGGGACATCTATTGCGTCTTTATAGGGGCGGGAGAGATCAATTTTTAATCAGAAAGAATTAAAAATATTGAAATTCATTTTTTTCTCCAGTGATTGAATTACACTTGAACTGAGCCAGGAAAATTAAGTTTTACTTAGAAAAAAAATTCCGTACCAAGAACAAATGTTAAATGAATAACATTGTAAAAACAGATGAATAGCAATTATGAGCAGCGTACTGTTATCTACAGTCTACACTGCTACAGTCATCTTATAATCTCAAAGACCCAGAATAAATTTACATTTAATCAGACGACTTTACAATTTAGCTTTACAAATACGATTGGTGAAACGATTATCACACAATAACCCAAGTCTTGCCATTTCCAAAATGTGATCTGTCTTTTTTGAGCATTTAAAATTACCAGAAATATTTATGTAAAGTCGCCTGATTAATCGCATGCAATTAGATATTGAAATCTAAGATATAGAAAGAAAGCGTCAATTGGGAATTTTAAGATGATTTTTAAATATTTACAATTTTGTTATTTGAAAAATTATAATTTCAGGGATGGTTTTGGAGATAATAAATTTTTCTACTCTCATGTAGCCGAAGTTGGATCAAAAGTAGGTAGATATCTTGAATAATAACAATAGAAATATTCTCGGTCAGAATTAGTTCAACTAGATTTGCTTAGTTGAACTACTTCGAAAATGTCAATGAAAGATTCGGTTCAACTATCTCCCGCTATTTATTAATTTCGACCAAAGAACAAAAAACTTTAAAGTTTTTTAGAATGAGGGATCGATCTTCTCAGTAACATATTTTCAACTCAGTTCACTCGGGGATTATTGGCATTATTTTTTGTGTAAATAGATTTAAAAAATGTTTCTAATTGTTTAGATTGTTGGGTTTTGTTTATTTTTCTACACCTACTCGACGTGGGAAGGGAAAGTTGTTCACATGGAGGTAATTTATCTTGTCCATATTTCTTTAATATTTTTATTTTTAAATGATAAAACAAATTTTTCCAAAATATTCTAAAAAATTTATCAAAGATGTACCAATTTCAAGTATTTTATTTTTTCTCATGAGGATTTTATTTCTGAAGTTTTACAAGAATTTTATCTCAAAATGCAAATTTAAGGATCTCTATGTACAGCCTGAGTACAGAAGTAGAGGAGTTGGGACAAAGGTACATTTATGTACATCATATACAATTGTTTATGAATATTGAACACAAATAAACAGGTTTACTTTTAAGGAAATCAGACGAATTGATTTAGTGATTTAAGTATTAATATCTTCAATGTTAATTGCACTTCAATGAGGGGGGGGGGGGAAGCCGACCAACACCCGTTTTACCTCCGACCCACAAATGACGTCACAAAACGGGATTTGCGGCATGCGCTACCCCTATGCCGAAAATACCTTTTGTGACGTCATCTGTGAGTCGGAGGTTAAACGGGTGCGGCGTCGCCTTCCTCGCCCCCTTGAAATATTTTTGTTCATTTGTCTTTTAGACCATCAATTGTTAATAAATAAATACCAATTAAAAATGATTAGCACTACTATACAGTATACACAACTGTACACTTCTATATTGTACAAAACTGTGCAATACTGTACACTTGTGTGTACACACTAGCTTTTTCATGCCAAACTGTGCAATACTGTACACAATACGCAGGGGTGTATATTTTTTAGGGAGGTGGGGAAATAATTATATTTAAACGTCTAGGGGGGGGGGGGGGTGAATGAAAATTTGGATATTAACAGTTTTTGATACTTTTTACCCTCAAAAATGATTTTTTTTCCCCTAATTCAGTGAATAAAACCTCTAAAAACATACCTAAATTCTGTGGGGAACACTTGGAATACTTGAAGAGTGATCCACAGAAAACCCCTGAGTCCATAAGGCGGATTTTGGTTTAATATTGGACTAAACAGTGTTCATCTTATCTTCATCCTGGAACGTATCATTCATTCCTCCGTTACACTGGTACATGGCACAGATTAAAAATGTTATTTTCTCGAGTCCTGTTTTAAATATCTCCACATTTCTTCGCCACTGCATTCCAGACCGTTATTACTCTATTTGTAAAGAAGTTTTTCCGCTGTTCTGTATTTGATCGATTCGATAAAGATTGCACTCATAGGCATTATCCTAGTTAGTCTGGTAACATTTTCTCCAACAATATTGAACCATATAGAGGGGTCAACCCTGTCAAATTCTATGAGGATTTAAAAAGTTTGAACTAAATCTATCTATTAAATCTATCCGCCTGTCCTTCAAGGTTGTCAGGCCAATTTCGGCTAGTTTTTCTTCACAAGTTCGTCCTACTAATCCTACCACCAGGGGGGGGGGGGTTTCAGAAGGGAGGCAATAATTTTGTTGTTGAAAATATACAGTGACCTACTGTCACAAACACCCCTGGACAGTGCCTGTACAGTTTATATAACATTACATTTACATTTTTTATGTTGATGTTTAGTTATGGAAGAGTATAATTACTGCAGCTCTGGAGATAAACTGCTCTAGATGCAACTTCCAGGTTTAAAATCACAACTAGGAGAGAGCGCATTTTGGCTCAAAGTGTCAAAAAAACGGAAACAATTAATTGCTGCTTAGATGCTTACCAGAAATAACCCGTATGGGATTAAGAAATCCGTTCTAGTAAAGTACTAATCAGCATGCATTGTGTTCATCATTCAGCATGCATGTGGGATGCATCGCATGCTGGATGCATCTTTATAATAACCGTTAAAAAGATGCAACCTTTTGTGTTGTCATCTACTAATCCATTTATAGGGTAAAAGTTGACCTGTGTTAGGCATTTTTTTGAAATGTTAGCCAAACTATAGATTTATTTTTTTTTGGTTCAGAAAAACGATTTTAGACCAAAGTTGAGGTTTATGCAACCGGGCATGCTGGATGCATGCTGGCCAATAACATTGTTCAATGATAATCTCATGGATTCACAATGAACATTTGGATCAATAAAATACTTAAATTTAGCTTCTTTGATTCTAGCTGGCATACTAGATGCATGCTGACCAAAACATTAAATTCTGATTAGCATTTCATTTCAAAATGCATTCTGACCAATAACAATAGCAAGTTCCGTTTTATGTACCGAAATATTAGTTATTTATATAAAAGAGAAATGATATTTAAAGTATAAACACTTATCTAAATCTATTCAGCTCTCTGTGGTTAGAGAAATATCTTTAAAATGGTGCAACTTCGGGCATCTGTAACTTTTCTTAAAATTTCTAGCAATAACTATTTCCTGGAGTTGAAAGTTGCCCCTCAGTTCGCCACAGTCATAACTTATTTAATTTCAAAGTAAATATATGGTTGAAAAAAAATTTAAGTCGTAAGTTTAAAAATTTTCCCAGAAAGTAAAATTAAAATTTTTTTTCTCTAAAAATTTCTTTAGCTGATATCTAATGAAGACAAGAAAGAAGAACCTTGCAAGTTGCAAATTTTTTCTTATTTTATCAGCCCCAAGAAGAAGTTGTAAACTTTTAGTTAGCAATTTCACTAAAAAAATCATGAACTAGTTTCCCTTTACATGCAAAATAAAGGTTGAAAACATTATCCTTTTTTTCATTTTTGAAGTAAAATTTATTTTTCCCCAGACATACCGTTTATGTGATGAAATGAAATGAAAAAAACTTTTGAAAATTCGTTTTTTTCCCGTTCTTTTTACACTTTGAGCCATAGCGGTGCGGTGTGCACAGTGGGGTATTAGAGGGGGGGGGCGGGGGGGTCATGAAAATTTACACCATAAATCTCATTTCAACTCATAAGTCAATGATTATTAAACTTTGATTATTATTAATTATTTTTTAGGTTCTGGACTGGAACAAGCCCAGTATTAAATACTACAAACGACAGGAAACTTTTTTGTTTTCAAAATCTTAAACGTTAAAAAGATCCGCTACTTATTGAATATTTAAGAACGATGAGATGCAAATATTTTACGAGACCAGTGGGAAAATGGACAAAATTGAAACAAAATATACGAAATTTTGCTAACTGGTTCTACATAAAGCTTTCCTAAATGATTAATTTTTAACAATTTCTGACCACAGTTTTTATCTGTTACAAAAAATTGATTAATATGAAACAAATAATTGGATTATCCACTGAATAAGCAAATTTAATTTTATACTTGTTACTAACTTGTTACTTGTTTTGGTGACTGCATAAGACCGGGTGGTCAATAAACGCAGACTTCTATTCTTGTCCTTGCTGTTATACAGAGATCGATTAAACTTGGCTTCTGTGCCTTACATCTAGCTCTCTGTCCTGGCACATAATATTTTTTTATATTAATCTTCTAAACTCCAGTTTTGAAGGTATTCAAGGTTCTAGAATTCTTTAGTTCGGTGGGCAAAGAATTCCAGGCAGGTAGAGACTACTCGGCTACTTCAGAAATTTTTGCAGATTTCGGTGTTGCTCCTGGAAGGTATTAAATTCATCGCGTACGCCGTACTTCTTGAAAGGTCTGACAACATTTTTCCCGATAATTGTGAACCAGATCGAAAAGTCGACATTGTCGATCCCACGCAGGATTTTAAAAACTTGGACAATATCGAATTTTTTCCGTCCTTCTGCTAGAGTACAAAGGTTTAAGTCTCTCAGTATAAGTTAGTCCCTGTAGTCCAACAACCATGTTTACTGCTTTACGCTGAACACTTTCTAGCAGCTCAATATCACCCATTAACCATGGACTCCATGCCTGGACCACCATTCCAGGTGGCATCGGACAAATTTTTTATAAAGTTGCAAAAAATTTACCTTCATTTGGAAAAACGAAGGGTAACGTGGTGAATAAGACAAATAGAAAACAAATAAAACGTTTGAATAGGGTGCTGTGGATCTATCCGCTGCCGAGGGCTGGCTCATGTTTAGGATGAACAGAAAAGAAATGGAAACTTTTGTTTCAAAAACATAAAATTTATTTTTTAATACCATCGCCGATTTGTGCACATCGTACATAAATATGAAATATGTGCATTGTAGATTGTACAACCGAAATAAATATGTATATTTTTCATTTTTTTCAGAAATTTTCTAGAAATGAGTTCGGATGGAGCAGGGCCCAGCTCCGGTTCTACAGGTTTCGAGATTTATTAAGATTTATAAATTCATATTTGTGATTTTAGAATGTTACTTTTCCTTGGCTTTACTAGAGTTATTTGTTTATAAAAGAACGTGAGAAATCAGTTTCAGCTATTAATTTCCTTAAACTGACATGTATTAAACTATCAACCTCCCCTCCCCCCCGTCCTCCTTTAAAATGTTCAATAATTTAGAATTATGCAGCGCTTTAGATCCATTTAATTTTGATGCGGATGAATTTTTAACAAAGCGAAGTTTTCAAATTTTTTGTCTTATTTTTTTTCACTTATTTTTATGCAAAAACTTTATGAACCATGCAGAAATCAGGAAATGTTTACAATTTTTTTTGAATAGTTCAAATTTGGGGTTTGAGAGGAAATTTTTTTTTGGTTGATATTTTGCTCCTTGCATCCGGATTCGTGGATCCGGATCCAGGAAGCCAAAATCTTGCGGATTAAACGGATCCGGATCCTAAGCACTAAAATTATGGATGAAGTTTTTAACATTTTAGCCTTATTGACAATTTCCAAATAACAAAAGCTTTCCTATTCGTAAGGGAAAGTTTAAATGACGATTTTCCAAGAGCAAAAACCTCCAGGATTTAGAAAATTAATTATATCAAATTTTCAGTTTTTTAACTTTCCTCCATCAAGTAAATTTCTAGATGAACTCGCCCAGCATTTCGGGTGTGAAGAAATCTTTAAATTCAGTGCAAAGAATCCGGATCCGCAACATATTTGGCTTCCTGGATCCGGATCCGCAAAATTATACGGAAATCAGGATGCAAGTTCCAACATGTCAACCAAAAACGGCGAACAAAAATCTTTTACTCTCAATCCCCAAATCTGAACTGTTAAAAAAAGAGATTATCAAATTAAGCACAAAAAAACGCAAAAAAGAAGAAAAATAAATTCTAAATTTTTTTACTGTTAAATAAATCAGTAAATCTTTCAGAAATATTCATGACTTCGATCCGGATCCGCATCAAAAGTAAATGGATCCTAAGCACTGCTTTAAACTATATTTGTTATTTAATTCTGCTGCCAGGTGTAGCTAGTGTTATTGATGAGCCTGGGTTTGCAGTGTATCCGTTATCCTGGTGTCCACACCTAGACCTACTTACACAACAACAAGATCTTCAGGTCAACTTCAACTTGGGTAGATTAGCTAGCAGGGGGGGGGGGGGCATACCTGCCCTGGGGATGCAAGCCCCCTGTCCCCCCCCCCCCATCTTTAATATATAAGTTGTATTCAATAAACGCATGGAACAACTTCAGGAATAAACGTCATAACGGTTGAACGAATCAAGTCAATGGGCATTGGGCTTGGAATATAAGGGGAATGGAATCGACACGGCCCGCCCTACCGTATGATTATACAATGTATTCTTTCGAGATGAGATTATGGGATACTCCATTTGAAAAAAAAATCCCTAAATATTTAAATGTGGTTTTGTACAATACTAATACCATATTAAATAAAACTAATTTTTTATATTATAAAAAAATACGCTTGTATTGCCAATATTTTTGCATCCTAAAAAATGTATTTGTTTGTTTTATCAGTCTATTTTTCCCACTGTTTAATGTATTATTTGCTACGTCAGATAATTATTTCTTATTCAAATGAAGTACCATATCCATGAAGCATGTATAATCATATGTTATTGCGGGCCGGGTATATTCAATCTCCCTTATTTTCAATGCTCCTTGGCTCGAGTCCAGGTCCAAGTCAAACAAAAATGACTACTTGAAAAGCAACATTCACAAGTTATATGCTAAAATTATTACAAGGAAAAGGAGTACGAAAAAAGCCTAGTTACTAGGCGCACACTTGAGGAAACGGAAGCGGGGGGAATTTTAAGCTTCTTGACTAATTTGTAGTAGCTTCAATGAGCCAAACAGGGGCGTATATTTTCCTAAAAAATTATCCCCCCTCCCTCTTTTAAAAAAAATTTTTGTTTCCAAAAGATAGGTCGGCAATTTTTTATGGTTTTGTTGGCTGAATTTGGAAAAAAAATGTTTAAAAAGTACGAATAAGGATGAAAAAACTTGCCTTTTTTGTCCAATTTTTGTTTTTTTTTCTCCAGGGGGCGATATACTTGAATAATCTTAAAATATACACTGCTGGAGCCAAACAGTTTTAAAATTTTATTTTTAGGTTGATACGAAAGCACCTTGTCAAGAGTGTGGGGATAGAAAGGAAAGAATTACAACATATTTAAATTATTTAGTTTGTTAAATTTTAGTTTTTACTGTATTTGTAATGTACGCAGGAAAACTGAACTGTAATTGTATTGTACTGTAAGAGAACTAAATTGTAATTGTATTGTACTGTTAGAGAACTAAATTGTAATTGTATTGTACTGTAAGAGAACTAAATTGTAATTGTATTGTACTGTTAGAGAACTAAATTGTAATTGTATTGTACTAGAGAACTAAATTGTAATTGTATTGTACTGTAAGAGAACTAAATTGTAATTGTATTGTACTATAAGAGGAGAATTGAATTGTAATTTTAATGTATACGTTAGGAGAACTGAATTGTAATTGTATTGTACTGCAGGAGAACTGATTTATAATTGTATGGTACTGCAGGAGAACTGAATTGTAATTGTATAATACTGTAAGAGAACTGAATTTTCATTGTATTTTATTGCAGGAGAACTGAATTGTAATGTATTGCAGAAGAACTGAATTGTAATTTTATTATACTGCAGTGCAGGAGAACTAAATTGTTATTGTATTGTAAAGTAGGAGAACTAAATTGTAATTGTATTACACTTCGGGAGAACCGAATTGTAATTGTATTGTACTGCAGGAGAACTGAATTGTAATTGTATTGTACTGCAGGAGAACTGAATTGTAATTGTATTGTACTGCAGGAGAACTAAATTGTAATTGTATTGTACTGCAGGAGAACTGGATTTGCCTACATTGTAAACAAATTCTATGCAGTAGATATGTCAACAGGTGAATTCTTTTTAAATACATATTATTTGGAATGTCTTGATGTCTTCTTCTGTGGACTGCAATAGACTAGATGTTTATAACTCCAGCAGAAAATGGTTTATAATTGAGTTTTTCCCTAGAGTTGATTGCTTTCTTAGAGTTGATTTCTTTCTTAGAGTTAATTTCTTTCTTAGAGTTTAGAGTTTACTTCTTTCCTAGAGTTGATTTCTTTTTTAGAGTTGATTTCTTTCTCAGCGTTGAATTTTATCCTCGAGTTGATTTCTTCACTAGAGTTGATTTCTTGCCTAGACTTGATTTCTTTTTATAAAGATTATTTCTTTCTTAGAGTTGATTTCTTTCTTTGAGTTGATTTCTTTCTTTGAGTTGATTTCTTTTAAGAGTTAATTTCTTCACTAAAGTTGATTTCTTCTCTAGAGTTGATTTCTTTCCTAGAGTTGATTTCTTTCCTAGAGTTGATTCCTTTTTTAGAGTTTATTTCTTTCCTAGAATTGATTTCTTTCATAACTCAATTTCTTCTCTAGAGTTGATTTATTTTGCCCGAAGCCGTCAGATATTTGAAAACTAACCCATTTTGTTGTGTGTTTTTTTTTCTAAACGTCAAATAAAAATTTATATTTTTTAACTGCAAAGCAATTTTAACTGACCCTTCATTGATAGAGTGGCATGTCTGATTCACAACGGTGCCCTTATAATCTTTGTCTGATTAAGTAAGAATATCTTAAATACCCATATCGGAGAAATTATCAGAATTAAATACTTTTCAAGCTAAAACAACGACGTTATCTTCAACATCATTGATCACTGATCAGATAAAGGTCATTCCCCTCTTTTTGAATGGAGGTTCTCTTGAAGTTACGACGACAGTACCTTTAACTGTTTGTTTAGTGATATGGCGAAGCATGCCAGCAGTACAGGTCACGTGTTGACCCTAAGCTTCAGTGATCTGTCCGCCTGGTGCTACGGTTGTGATGATTATGTGGATAATAAACTACTCTTCAAATTCAAGGATGCAGTACACAGGAATATAAACAAATTCATCCAGTAAACAGTACACGGTACACGGTTCACGGTACACGGTACACGGTACACGGTACACGGTACACGGTTCACGGTACACGGTACACGGTACACGGTACACGGTTCACGGTTCACGGTACACTGGTACGGTGCACGTAGTACACAGTACACAGTACACTGGTAACGGTACATGTAGTACACAGTACACAGTACACAGTAAACACTACACACTTCACATTACATTGTACACTGTACATAAACAGTACACAGTAAAAAGTAAAAACACTTTTTGTCCAAAAATTCATAAAAATTAAAAAACTTTCAGCGATGAAAAAAAAAATTAAATTCGCTTCGATCAAACTTTCTAAACAAATTGGAGGAAAAATTATTTTTAAGAAAAATAATCTTTTATGCCAACATATATAGTATATACACCTGAAGCACTTAGTAAAACCATGAAATTTGTGTTTATAGAAACAAGTTTGGAGAACCCATGCTGAATCCACACTCCACTGAAGAACCCATCCTCCTGTCATAAATCTAAATATTATCCACACTCCACTGAAGAACCCATCCTCCTGTCCTAAATCTAAATATAATCCACACTCCACTGAAGAACCCATTCTCCTGTCCTAAATCTAAATATTATCCACACTCCACTGAAGAACCCATCCTCCTGTCCTAAATCTAAATATTATCCACACTCCACTGAAGAACCCATCCTCCTGTCCTAAATCTAAATATTATCAATTTTATCTCAAAAAATATTTACTGAGTAATTGACAATATTTAATGTTTTAGTTTTGGAGTTGTTCTGTTTTTATGCTTTCTGTTATTTATTTTCATCAATTTACGTGATTTTATATTTCCGTGTCATTGATTAAAAGATGCCATCTCTTGTCGGAGAGATTACCTATGTTCGGAATTCAGCCAATGAGGGTTCAACTTAATCTGTTTATTCAAAATGTCAAGCTTCTCAGAAAAGCTTAAATCGAAAATTCTAATGATTTAAACAACTAAAAAATCATGTTGGGTGTTAGAATATAAGTTTAGAATGTCGACGTAATTTTCAGGGGCTTTCCACTTTCATATAGACATGCCCGATTCACTACGGCACCCTTTAAATTTTCCTCAGTTTTCGCTTGATTGACCAGAATTTTGAAATCGCAATTACTGCCTTTACAGGGGTTGTAAACGTTATTTCAAATTATAAGTCATTTAAAGACTGGCAAGTCCGATTCACAACGGTACCCTTAATTGTCTGTTCACGTTTGCATTTAATATCTATGCTTAATTTCGCTAAACAAAACATTTTTAAAGCTAAAAGACTACATTATCTTCCATCATAATGAGTTAGATAAAGGTTTCAAGGGTATCGTTGTGAATCGGACATTTCCATCTTTTTATGGAGTGTAACTTAAATTTACGCCTACAGTACCTATAATCCATTTTGTGTTTATATATCTCCTCCGAATAGAAAGAGCTGACTAATTCTATTAAATTGAACTGGATATAACTAGAAACTTTAGAATTGTATTCTCAGAAATATGTAATTTCAGATAAACAATAGAAGCATTAAGATCAACATTCAACACAGTGCTTGGTGTAGGCTACTATAGATGGTAAATCATTTATAAATAACTTATTTTTTATCTCGTTCAAAGATGTTTAAAACTCTCCGACAGTTTTAGCCTACGATGTCTTTTTCCGTTTTCTAAGTGGCATACTACCCTCATAAATGGAGGAATGACAATAATAATAATGCTAATAAACAAACTTTGAAAGTACTCGGTGTTGTCCGTGCCGATTAGTTTAGTTTGGGTGGTTGCCCGTTGCCATCCGTACGAGTTACTCTTTACTCTTTGCTCTATATTCTTATTTTTTTCTTTTTCTTTTCTCAGCAGAAAACGACTTCCTTTGTTACCTTGGAGGCGAAAATAACTTTTTATCAAAATTTCACCTCTAAAAGTGTTACGGTTTCACGACCATCTTCCTTTTCAACTTTTAATAGTGGCTCTATATATGAGCATCTTCTCTTAGTATTAAACAATAACAAAAAAGGTTCACAGATTCATAATAATTGTTCGCGCATTTTCAGACTTTTACAAAAATCAAAAACGGTGATCGGTTCAGCCGTTTGGACGTTTATTGGACACGAACAGACAGACAGACAAGCTAAGTACATATATAGAAATATCTTTAGAGTAAAGACTGGATGAGGTTTAAGTGCAATGACCCCTTCATCTCCATTATCCCCTCCAGCTAAAAAAATAAAGATGGGGGAACCAGGAAAAGGTAAGACGCTACCATTGTTTAGGATCCAGATAATGAAGGAGGGGTGTATATTTCCTCAACAATCATTCCCCTCCATTACTCTATGAATATCATTATTAAAAGTTAGATTTTGCGCGGAGCGGACATTTTAATGTTTTTTTTCTCGGTTTTTTTGGGGGGTGGGGGATTTATTGAGTTTAAGGGGGAAATAACTGAGCTTTTGATTCGGATCCTGTTCGAATTCAATTGATCCTGAGCTAAGATGTTTACATTGAAAAAATTGAAAGTTCATGGACGCAAATTTTTGTAGTTAGTGAACAAAAATATCTATACAAAAAAAGTACCGTCACATTAACTGCGAATGTTACTCTTATAACAAATCAAAGTTTAAAATAACTGTAGATGCGATTTCCTTTAATTATAGAGTGGAACATTCGATTCACAACAGCACCCTTTAAATTTTGTCTGATTAATAATAAAGGAGATATCCTAGTTTTTGGATTTGAAAACCTTAATGTGGTTTCTCTTTAAAATTGACTTACGAATTTATAGCATCCGAATTTAACAGTTTTCAGGACAGAAAACGACGATATCTTCCACATTGGCACTTAGTAAAGGTTTAAAGGGTATAGTTGTGAATCAGGCATGTCACCTTACAAATGGAGATAATCCTTAATTTAATATAATTTAATAATGCATACTTACATTCCAGGATGTGAAACGAAGGATGGTATTGAAACTGCCAAAGACAGTTGTGATGATTCTGATTCTAAATTAAAGACAGACAACTACTCTGTTCTCACAGATGAAGACGGAGAAACAGCTGTAATTACTACAGCAGCAGCTGTTAGAACTTCAGAGAAGTACTCGTCCATTGATAAGAATTCGGCGTCCAAACTTGAATATTGTCGTGTCCGAAATCAAAATGATATTGTTACCATTCCAGCGTCAGATGATGAAACTAGCGATGAATCCATGAATTTAGTTCAAGAAAGGGAAAAGTTTTCTGTTCAGACCGCCACCAGTTCTAAATTCACGATGGAAAACACACAGGATTCAGTATCTGTCTGTTTGTATGATGAAACAAATAGAAAAGTCCAGAACAGTGGAACTCCGACTAAATTCAGTTACGCAGATGTGTTGAAAAGTTCTCCGACTAAAGAAAGACAAACTCCAAGAAAGGAAGAAAGTACAGCTAGTCATGGAGCTACATTTACCGTTCATGACTTTCATGAAAACGATGATACAGATAAAGAAGATGTTGCAAATGATACTGATGTGTCGGAATTTAACTCATCCCAGGAATTTAAACAAATTTACAGCAATAACCCTTTTTACATGACATTTTGGCATTTCACATCACAATTTTAGGTATTCTTTTTGTACCAAAACCTAATTTGTTTGGGTGAAACAGGATATGTTCGGATCTCAGGAACTCAAACGGACCTTGACAGGAAAATATTATTTATTGTCTCTTTAAGCTTGTTTGTTTTGGGAATATCCACGTTTTTTTTCTTACTTCATTGAAACTTCATTTTATGAATTTGAAGAGAATAAATATTCACATCGCAAGTTGGCGGATTTTCCTGTTTTCATTGGTGGATTTCTAAAATAATCTTTTTTTCTGTTTGTCGGTCTGTTTTTTTGTCCGATCGTAACTAAGGAACCCCTTGACCCCTGTGGAACAACGGGAATGTTATTAGCTTGGTTAAAAAATTCAAGTGGAGATGGTTTACTTTTTTAAGGAAAACTTCAGGCAAAACTGAGTTCCCAAGCTAGTATAAAGATATCAATATTAAGTATTAAAAATGATATTAGTAAGCGAGTGTACTGCTGGTTGTGAACTAGATGAGTTGGGTAGACTAGGTGTAACCGTTCCACATCCTTCATCTCCTCTTAAACCATCCTCCACGCATACAGTTCTTCTTCACTCTCATTCTCTTAATTTGGACAGGTACCTTATCATCCACTATCATTCCTAGTTATCCTCTTCCCCACCTTTCCCTAGCAATCCAGAGGACGAATTGAAAGAATATGAGCCGCGAATCAAATTTGAGACGCGTAGAGACGCCGCGCAGCTCAAACATGGTTAATTCCACTTGAAATACAGCGTTTTGAGATTTGAGCCAGCGCTCAATTGGAACCGGTTTTTGGCGGATCAGCGACGTGGTTTACATTATTTAAATTCGGCCTCTATATTTTCCCAAATCTAGATTGGTTGTTTTAACTGTCCGGTAGCGTTTAATCCAATCAGGGTTCCCTAACATGCTTGGGGACTATTCATAACCAATAGAAATTACAACTAGCATCTATCTATTCAAATCTTATAATCTTATTAGAGATCTAACGGAAATTTTACCTTCACTAAAACCTTCATCGTTTTTCCCCTCGCCCTTGTTGAATTTATCACCTTAAAGATGTCAGCTATTCGTAGAGTAAACCTTTAATAATCATATTAATAATAACTTGAAGAACAATAAGAGAAGACTGTTTAATTTCAAAGAAGAAAATTTCATCAACTTGTCAAGTTTTATTTACATAATGTGAAATATAAAGATATTAGATAACCCAGGTGTCCTAGTTTGAATTGGATTGAACTAGTTTAACAATAGGTGTAACAGGATCCTAGATTGTATATTTATTTGGCAAGTTTTAAAATATAATTTAATTGTTTCCTTCATTTTTTCTTTGGGAGGGGGAGGGGGGAAATTGGAGGTATACTTCTTGCCTGCTATATTCTGTGATATGGATGATGTATTTTATTACCTTGATTAGAGTTCCTGCCCCTACCCTACTGTATCCCGTGATAATAATGATGTACTTTATAACCTTGTTTAGAGTTCCTGCTCCCTACCCTACTGTATCCCGTGATAATAATGATGTCTGGGATAATGAACATGTTCGTCTACCCTGGTCTAGGTAAACACTATAGACCTAACCTTGTAAATAAGAGACCAAACCAAATAAGGGCCAATAAGCAAATTACTTTGTCTGTGTCTTGATTAGCTTGATTGATTGATAATTTTCAAAATTGTCAAACCAAAGCAAAAAAAAAATAGAATAAGGACCTATTGCCTTATTTGTTTCTTGATAGACTTGATTAATTAAGTGATTGTTTGACTAGCTTGACGGGCTGATTATTTCAGCTTGACTGATTGATTGATTAATAGGTCAGCTTTATTGATTGATTAATTAATCAGCTTGACTGATTGATTAACAAATTAGCTTGACTGATTGATTAATAAATCAGCTTGACTGATTGATTAATTAATCAGCTTGACTGATAGATTAATTAATCAGCTTGACTGATTGATTGTTAAATCAGCTTGACTGATTGATTAACAAATCAGCTTGACTGATTGATTAATAAATCAGCTTGACTGATTGATTAATAAATCTGTTTGACTAATTAAACTGACAGGTTAGCTCGATTAGTTGATTGATTGATTATGTAGACTCAATAATCAAATTGTATTTTTTATTGAATTTTTTGGATTTTTTTCACACATGTCAAGTATGATGTATACCCGAAAATAATTTATTAGCAAGGGATCAATTCATAAACGTGTTCAATTAAATATTAATTAGAAAGGTAGAAATAAACCTTGAAAAGTTGGATTTAATTTAAGCATATTAAACAAAATGGCGAATAGTGTTATAATCCAGGCATAACCAGTATGTTGACAATAGTAGTAATAACAACGGTAGAAAGAAGAAGAACAAGAATAGAAACAGACCTGAGTTAAAGTCCAGGTACATTACATTTGGATTTTGAAAACGAAAATTTACAGAACATCCAATGATAAAGTGACATGATGCGTAATCCGAAATTATAATATTTCATTTTAAAACAGTTTTCCCCATGCGCTATGCATTATTGTTTCTAAAATTTCTCAGCCCTTTAGGTTCCTAGTTCTAGTTTAATCAAACTAAACAATCAAACTAAATCAAACTAGTTCTAGTTTAATCAAACTACATCAAACTAGTTATAGATTAATCAAAATAAATTAAACTAGTTCTAGTTTAATCAAATTAAATCAAACTAGTTCTAGTTTAATCAAACTAAATCAAACTAGTTCTAGTTTAATCAAAAGAAGCAAATTGTCTTCAAGGACTTGTAGTTCCGAACCTCAACTTGGAAGCTGAAAGATTGATTTGATTTGATTTGATTTGATTTGGATTCTGTTTCCAGATGGAGAATGATAAAGGAAGTGTTAGGTCAACAGATCTCCTCTACTCTGCAACTGCGTGAGGCAATCCTTAGTTACAATTCAAGGTTTGTTCAGATTTGTATTCTGAACCATTTTTTTGGTTTGTGATCTATGTGATTTTAGTTGATTGTAATTTTCTACATTAATATGCTCGCCTTTTGATGGTTTTAGAAAAAAAACATTAATCAATCAGTCAATCAGATAAAAAAAAATAAAACAACTTCAATTCGCTTGAATATTTTTATTTCTTGATTTAGACATCACTGTGGATAGTAAATATGTCATATGAATCTAATCTAATTTATTCTAATATCGAATCCATATTATCTTGATATGAATCTAATCTAATCTAATCTAATCAAATTTATCTAATCTGTGATATGAATCTAATCTAATCTAATCTAATCAAATTCTTCTAATCTTGGATATGAATTTAATGTAATCCAATCAAATTCATCTAATCTTGATATGAATCTTATCAAATCTAATCAAATTCATCTAATCTTGATATGAATATAATCAAATCTAATCAAATTCATCTAATCTTAAAATGAATCTTATCAAATCTAATCCAATTCATCTAATCTGTGATGAATGAAACTAATAGAATCTATCTAACCTGTGATATGAATCTAATCAAATCCATCTTATCTGTGATTTAATCAAATCCATCTAATCTTGATATGAATCTAATATATTATAATCTAATCTAATATGTGAGATGAACTTAATCCATTCTACTCTCTTAGGTTTTATGATGACCCAAACTGGTCGTTCCAGTGTTTGCATGAGATAGTTGAGGACTTCAATGAAGCTGAAGAGGAATTATTTTTCACAAAAATACTTCCTGGGATGATAAAGTTATGCTTAGCAGGACCAGAGGTAAGAATACAGGAAGCATATCCCCGGTATATATTTGCTTTGAGGATCATATTTTTTACCCCCCCCCCCTCCCCCCAAACTGGGTCTTTTTACAGGGTTACGCAGCCTGCTTAAACTTTGGATTTAAAATTAAACTAAGCAAGGTTGACCACTTTATACTAGGCATGGTTGACCACTTTAAACTAAGGAAGGTTGACCACTTTAAACTAAGCAAGGCTGACCACTTTAATCTGAGCAAGGATGACCACTTGGTACTAGGCACGGTTGACCACTAGATACTAGGCACGGTGGACCATTTTATCATAGGCAATGATGACCAATCTAAACTAGGCACGGTTTACCAATATAAACTAGGTATGGTTGACAAATTTAAATTAGGTATGGTTGACCTGTTTATAATAAGCAGGGTTGACCACTTTAAACAAGGCATGGTTGACCAATTTAAACTAGGCACGGTTGATCAATTAAAATTAGGTACAGTTGACCTCTTTGTAATAGGCACGGTTGACCACTTGATACTAGGCACGGTCGACTACTTGATACTAGGCACGGTCGACCACTTGATACTAGGCACGGTTGACCACTTGGTACTAGGCATGGTTGACCACTTGGTACTAGGCACAGTTGACCACTTTATACTAGGCACAGTTAACCAATTTAAACTAGGCACGGTTGACCACTTTAAAGTAAGCAAGGTTGACCAGTATGACCACTTGGTACTAGACACGGCTGACCACTTGATACTAGGCACGGTTGACCACTTTATACTAGGCACAGTTGACCTCTTTATACTACTTACTTGTTTACTTGAAGAGGAACTTCTAAGGGATCATCTTGATCCAAGGAAGAAGTGTCAGCTTTACTGGTGACCCATACCATTTACGAGAACAGAGGTTTGATAGATTACTTCATCAGGGTAGGGGCACTTGGCTCAAATACATGTTTTTAAACTGTTTGACATTTCTTGCATTTTTGATGTAATCAGGTAGTGCATTCCACTGCTGAACTATTCTATTGGAGAAGAAGTGTTTTCTTATATCCAAATTGGGTCTGGAAGCTACTATACAAAGGGACTGTTCACTTGTTCTGGTTACTCTCCTTTCAGTGTCACCATACAGCTCAAACCAAATCTTTCTGTCCACATCATCTATTCCATGTATGATTTTGTAGGTTTGTACAAGATCGGTGTATGTTCTTCTCTCCTCCAAGTTAACCATGGATTCCAGACTGGAGAGGAGAACTCAAGATGAGGTCTTACATATGTCTTGTACAGATTTATATATGTAGTTCTATCTCTATAGGTGAAAGCCCTCAGGATCTGGTTCAGAACAGCCATAGCTGTGTTTGCTGCTTTCTGACACTGCATACTCGGTTTTAAGTTATCATTAATTAGTACTCCAATGTCCTTTTACTAGGCACAGTTGACCTCTTTATACTAACTAGGCACGGTTGACCTCTTTATACTAGGCACGGTTGACCACTTTCAAAATATATTATTTTCAGGAAATTACTGGACCCATTCCTCTTCTTCGTCAATCACAGGGAAATAATATTTAATTAAATATATTTTTTGATGATTTCTTTAAGGGGCTGTAGAGTGTAGACTGTAGACTGAGTTTTAAAAAACCCTTCATTCATAAAGTGACATATCTAATTCACAACTGTACCCTTTTCAACCTCATCTGAACAACAATGACGCGGAAGTGTTCAACTCTGATATTTTCCTTCTTTTTTTCATTGCTTAAATCCGCAAGTCAATTTTATAGAGAAACCGCAATGAGAAATTTTCAATTTTCTTTTTATTAACAGGAAAATTTTAAATTTATCTTTGATCAGCCAAAGGTGTAAACCGTTGTAAATTGGACATTGCCACATGAAATGACGTCTACTGTTGCTCATCAAATAAAAATAAGCTTTATGTAAAATTTAATTCAATTAAACCAACTAAAAATAGAGCAAATCTTCTGAAAGCAAATAAAAATAGTTCAAATGAAAAATTATGAAAAATTAAATATTATTATAGAGAATGAGTATATCTCTGTCCCAGCACCAGATCTCTATTCTACTTGCTAATGCATTTTTCTGCACATTTCCTAGGAATCAACCAATATTTAGAATCTAGAAATAGTCAGATAAATTTAGAAACTTTTTTTCGTTAGAAACAATTTAGAAATCAAAATAGTTTCTCCTATGATATTAGATTTGATTATAATAGGGGAATAATTTTTTATTTTTGGTAACAATTTTTTGGTACAAACTTAGAAGCTTTGTCCTTGCTTTTATATGCATTCCCATAAATATCATCAAAGTAGTTTTCCTAATAAGTAAAAAAATCAGCGAACGGATGGAAAATTTCCTTTCCTAGGCTGTTTAGTTCGGTTCTTTGATTATAATACTTAGAAATGGGAATGGGGGGGGCAGAGTAAACTAGAGGTCCTGGTTAAAAGTCCATTTAGTCCTTTCTGAAGAACCCATTTTCACCAATTAAATAATGATTTTGTGTATTTGCCATATTACACTTTTTTGGTGAACTATGTATCTTTAAATTGCCTTAGGGACCATGCTTTTTGGCTGTAGGTTGATTGGTAATAACAATAATAATTTATTAGAAATATTTAAGCATATAGGGTGGTGTACGCTGATGGTACATGTTCTCATACAGACAGAATGCACTTCGTTAGGGTTAGTTTTATGTGTGTAATGTTATAACCTTGATTCTAGGATATTTATGGTTGAATGATGGTAGGAGGAACAACGCTGGACCTAAATCTGATTATGTAAACTATCCAGATATAAACTTCAACAGGTTGGATATAATTATATAGAGTTCTCGATCAATCTATTTCTTTAAGCCTTTTTGAAAAAACACTTTTTATCAATTGTCTGATCGAAATTGTCTGATCTAAGGAGGTTGTACTGTTGAATCAATGAATTGTTGATCGGTAATTAAAGTAAGGGGTTCTTCTTGTTGGGCATACTTGAGTAGGAAATTGAAGCTGTGTAGTTGTAGAAAACGGAAGGAATACTGAATAGGAGAGATGCTGACGGGGTACAGTACTTTTGAGAGGCCCGAGAAGGGGGCCAGGCAAGGGCAAGGATGTAATGCCAGGAAAGTTATTTCAGAAGTGTACGCATCTTTTGTACTGCAGTGTATTTTCTCTGGGAGGTAATTTAAACACAAGACGGATGGTACCGCCTGACATGGGATCCATCTTTCACATAAAAATAATCAATGAAATATTCTGGTCATAGGAAACTATTATGTGAATTATCAAAATTGTCAAAATTTAATGCTTTCAACCTCCTCGGATACTAAACGAACAATGATGGCATCTATTCTTGTTTACAAATTCCGCCCAAAGAGAACTGATTTCAATATCATATGTAAGCATAGTATACACGACCGCAATCAACTTTCGTTGCATTACATCCTTGAACCGCCCCTCTCAGGGTAATTAAAGTTGGGGGTTTCTTCTTGCTGGGCATACTTTAGTAGGAAATTGAAGCTGTGTTGAGTGCGTAGTTGTAGAAAACTGAATAGGAGAGAAGCTGACAGCAGCTAGACATGGCCCGCTAAGGGTGCCATGCGAGGGAAACCGGGACGCCAGCCCCCCCCCCCACACCGTCTTGCCCCTCTCCTGGCCCCTGGGTACAGTACAACTCTTCACCAGCTCTAACCAGCCATCAGGCTTGAGCCGGCGACTGCCTAAATCATATTTTTTTTTAACTTCTACCCTGATGTTGATTAGGTTGCTCAGTGTAAATATTAGAAGACCTGAGGCACAAGCTGAAAAGATCAAGTGTATTCTTGCATATTTCAGGTAGAAACAACAACCTGACGTGACATGATCTGACTTGACCTGACTTGACCTGACTTGACCTGACTTGACCTGACTTGACCTGACTTGACCTGACTTGACCTAAAATTCATATTTATAGGAATGTTATTGAGAATCCTCCGGTTGGTGTTGTAACCTTTAAACGGCAGGTTTTGTCTCGACAAAGTATACCAAACTGGAGAACTACAAGGGTTCCCATGTCTAGCATTAAACTACGAATATCTATGACAGGAACCATAGAAACAGATGGACAAGGGATGCTACAAGTAGATTTTGCAAACAAGTAAATGTTTTATTATATACAATACATTTTATTTATTTATTTAAGGACTGTATAAATTAATATTATAAAAGAACATAGTTAGGTTTCTTGGACAATGACTGGATAGTGGATATATTATTATTATACAAGAACATATTTAGGTTTGTAGGAGGTGGTGTACTAGGACAAGGACTGGTCCAGGAGGAGATCAGGTTTACAATCTGCCCGGAGCTCATCATCTCCAGACTCTTCACGGAGGTTCTAGGGGACAGAGAGGTTCTCCTCATGAGGGGAGCTCAGCAGTATTCAAGGTAACCAGAAATCCTTAAGTTTATTAATATTCTATCATCTAGTAGCAGGTCCATATAATTAAATTTCTGATCCGGATCCGCATCAAAATTAAATGGATCCCAAGCACTGGTTTACAATTTTTTTCGTCTTTTTGATACTTTTGCCCTACAAATTAATTTTGTCTCCTAAACTACATTTACTTTCCCCAATTCAACGAATAACCCCTAATAAAAAATGTATCTACTATCATGTGTAAAAAAAGATAATAAAAAAGGGGGGGATTTTTCAAGAAAATATACAATATACAACACTTCTGGATGAATTTATTAACTATTTTTATCCATTTAATAACGAAATGAACGAACATTATTGTTGCAGATATACCGGGTATGGAGATAGTTTCAAATTTGCTGGTTCTTTCATTGACACAACAGAAGTAGATAGTTGTTTTAGAAGAGCCACTCATATAGTAGCAATGGATGCTACACTCTTCCATAATAGTCAGGTAGCATTTCATTTATCGTCGTTATTCTTAAATGATATTGCTACTTCTTCAAGCATGCAATTCATTAAGAAAAATGAAAATGGTAAAATAATTCGCCCCATAAAGGGATTGTAGTTGTACTTTGAAGTGAGCTTTCATTTTAAGAGAGACATATTAGTTTAACAAAGGTGCACTTGAAACCTTAATCTCACCACGCCTTTTTTCTAGCTTGACAAGTGTCTAATTCTGATATTTTTTCATAGTTTCTGAAGCCAGAAATGCGCCAGCAAGTTTTGTAGAGAAACCACTGTTCTAAAACATAATTGATCAGATAAAGCCTTGAAGGGTGCCGTTTTGAATCTTATATCTCACTCTAGCAATGGAGGCCGTCACTTGAATTTACGTTACAGTCCCTCTAAGCTAAAATTCAATGAAAAAAATCTCCGAAAAGTACAAACTTGTGGCTAATGAATAAACTTTAAGTAGAGGGGGTGGGGAGCCGGGCTGATATTTTCATTTATCTATTAAATAAAGCTCATTTGCTCATGTATAAAATAAAGCTACTCGCTCATATATATTTAATATTTATATGTGTTAGCTATATAAACGGCTGGACCAAAGTTCCTGAAATATTTTGAAGAAACTCATGGGTAACCTGGGGGTAATATAGGCTAAATTGGATCCCAGGAAGCCAAATCTTGCAAATCTAAATCCTAAAGACTTCAATATTTTCAAATTTTAGATTCAGTATTGCGAGAAAATGATAATACGGGAGCTGAACAAAGCTTATGCTGGGTTTCAGGAGACAGGGAACCATGTCAACAACAAGTAAGCTCAATAATACATTTTTTTACACAATATTGCACAATTCACATTGCACATTACACATTACACATAGCACATTGCACATCGCACATTTCACATTGCACATTGTACAATGCACAATGCACATACATATAACTGTTTGTCTCAACTGTTTGTATTTATCTGTTTGTATTTATGCCAAGTTGAATTTGCAATACATATAATATACAAGACGTACATTTTAAATTGTACATATAATTGTGTTATCTATCTGTTTATCTCCAATCTCCATGTACATTTTAAATTGTACATATATTTGTGTTATCTATCTGTTTATCTCCAATCTACATGTACATTGTACATCTTAAATTGTACATATATTTGTGTTATCTATCAAGTATGTCTACACAACAATCTACAAGTAAATTTAGAATCGTACAAAGATTTGTGTTATCCATCTGTTAATCAACATGTACAATAATGTAAATTTGAATTTCTTGTTTATATATGAAACAATTGTTGCATTGTAAACATAAGATTATTTATTTTAAATTTCTTTAGGAAGTGTGCTGTTGCTACTGGAAACTGGGGTTGTGGTGCTTTTAGGGGTGACCCAGAGTAAGTCGGGGGTATTTATTTTCCAACATTATCCCCATCTGATCCCCTGATTAGAAGTTCCTAGCTTAAAATGAGGAGAAAAGGTGGAAAGGGGATTGTATTCAGCTATATAAATATCATTGAGCATGCATTTTATAAGCAGAAAGTTATCTCAAGAGTTCATAAATCGCAAAAGTGTTTTGTTTTCTCTACTGCATGAAATCCACAATACACAATTTGAAAATTATTAAAGTTTCATCATTTCTGCTCAGGAAAAGGTTTAAGAATATCGTTGTAAATCGAACATGCTCCTCTTTTAAACTGGTATGCACATTGGATTTAGGCCTTCAGTGCATGGATCCATATTCTTTTAAGTCAAAAATAAATAATTGACTTATCAAAAAATAAAATAAAAGTTTTTTTTATTTTTAAGGTTAAAGTTTTTAATCCAACTGATGGCTGCTGCCCAAGCTGGAAGAAGTGTTTATTATCTTACTTTTGGTGATTCAAGGCTAGTCAGGTAAACAATCAACCAATCAATAAGTTAATCAATCAATCAATAAATGAACCAATCAATCAATCGATAAATTAATCAATAAATCACTCAATAAATTAACTAATCATTCAATCGATAAATCAATCAACCAATCAAAAAATTAACCAATCAATCAATCGATAAATTAACCAATCAATCAATCGATAAATAAATCAATCCATAAGAAAAATGAGCAATCATTCAATCTTTAAAGATCTGAAAAAGAAACCCAAAATGAAACCTTATCACTTCATATAGATAGATAACCTTGTATGCTGTTAGGTTCCAAGTCAAAAAAAAACTTTTTTTTCATAATCTATATATCTATTTCACTGAGTTTAGTCTGAGTTTTCTGAATAAATCGATCAAGGAATTGGGAAAAAATATATTTTAAAGAAATGCCATTAAATAAATGCCTTTTAAAGGAACTGTAAGTGACTCTTTATCATATAATGGATCCCCGTCCGATTCACAATTGTACCCTTGAAACCTCTTATCAGACCAATACTGTCGTTTTACTGTGTTTAAAAGTGTTTAATTCTGATAATTCCTTTATATTTTCTGCAGTACAAAGCCCAAGTCACTTTTGTAGAGAACCTACAATTGAAAATTCGCAGTTAAGAATTGATTCATCTTTTTTCTGGCTTGAGATGAATTCTATTATAATACAGTCAGAACCCGAAATACCCGGAATTAATTGACAGTTAATCAGAAGACTTTCTATATAAATCTCAATTTTAAACGCACAATAAAGGCAGACAACATTTTGGAATTGGCAGGACTACAGAAATATCGCCTCCTTAATCATATTTGTAAAATTTGATTGTGAAGTTGTCTGATAAAATATAAACTAATTACGGATCTGTCTGATTATAACTGTATCTGAAAATGTTCAGGAACGGATGGAGGGTATTTGATTTGCTGAGTAGAAAGGATATTAGTGTGGGTCTCCTGTACAGTATAATTGCTAAATACAGGTGAAATATTTAGCTATTCCGCAATATATCTTCAAGGTTCCAGTTTCCAGTTTTATCCAGTTTTTCAGGGATAAATAATTCTCCACAGAATTAAACTTATATTTCAGAAGTATTGTGTTCAAATTAAAAACAAATTTTCAGTAGTTTTGAACACGGGTGTAATACTGTTTATACACCCCTGGTTTTGTATTTTAAATTTTGAATTTTTTGTTTAAAAAACTAATGCTTTGAAGAAATATATTCCAATAGTCCCTTCCCCTTTCAAGTTACTTTGTTTTGACATCAATAAGAGTTTTATTATTAGTTAGTTAGAGTTAGTTTAACCAAGAAAATACTAAAATGCTACAAACAATATATAATAAGAAATTGTGAAAAGGAAAAAGGCTGAACTGAATGTATGTAGGGGAGGTGATGATGTTGATCTGCTTGAGTATGTTGAGGCTCAAGTGCAGCTAGATATAGATCCAGGAACCGGATTTAATGAATTTGAACCAAGTCTAAAGACGGTTCAACCACGTACCTTGAATCGGGGATTCAAGATTTGTCCATGTCTTATTGATATAACTGTACATTAGCACTACAGGTTGAATCGGCGGTAGATAGTTCAGCGACCTAGCTCAACTTCATTAAATTCGGTCCCAGAACTAGTGTTTCCTACAGATAAGACAGATCAACCATACTCCGCCTATGATGAAGATACTGATGATGAAAGACCTTCTTCTCCAGTTTATCAACCAATCTCTAGTCCAGTCGAGGTAATCAGTGCTGTCAATCTAAACGCCCTATTCTGCTTTGATCTGGACTTGATTAGGGAAAATAAAGGAATTTTGGGGAAAAGTATCTAAAAGGATAAATAAACTTGCTTTTTAATTAACAAATAAAAATGATAATAATGAATCATGGAAAGTCTGAGCTCTCTGACGGATTCTCCGCCTGTCCACATGTTGGGGGTGTAATTCTTGAAATAATGCACCCATGGAAGAAAAATTTTAATTGCGCCCTTTTAATTCTGGAATATGAAAATGTGAGATTTTTTCTCTTTAGTTTATTTCTAATTAGCAGATTGTTTTTTACTTTGTTTGTTATAATACATTGAACATAAAAACGAGATGTGGCTCCTTTCAGATTTGTTAGTTAAAGTTAAAATGTTTGTAAAAAATACCGCGGATTGATTCAAATTGATTTAAATGAATTTTTATCAATAACATTTTCAGATGAATGCTCAGGATTTAGCAATTCTCTCCGAATACAAGAACGTGGACACTTCCTCTACATTGATCAATGGTCCAGGGACCACTGAAACATTCTCTCAGGGCCCAGAGGGGTCCTTAGCTAGTTTAGAACTAGTCTGCACAAGAGAAGACCCATGCAAGATTAAATCGTGTACATATAAAACTCCTTGTCTTAGAGCTCAGCCTGAAAAGTCAAAGATTACACCATTTGATGAGGTCAGGAATTCTACGACCAGCTCAGAGAAGGAGGTCAATAGTTATACAACCAACTCACAGAAGGAGGTCAGGATTTCTATGACCAACTCAGAAAAGGAGGTCAGGAGTTCTACGACCAACTCAGAAAAGGAGGTCAAGAGTTATACGTCCAACTCAGAAAAAGAGGTCAGGAGTTCTTCAACTCTCTCAGAAAAGGAGGTCAGGAGTTCTACTACTCTCTCAGAAAAGGAGGTCAGGAGTTCTACGACTCTTTCAGAAAAGGAGGTCAGAAGTTCTACGACCCTCTCAGAAAAGGAGGTCACTGAAGCTTCTTCAACGGATCCCTTGGATATTCTCGAGAATGGACTAAAGAGTTCCGTGAATTCACGAACTAAAAACTCGGTTTTCTCCGTAAAATCAGAGAAAAAATCCAAGAGGGAGGAGAAAAATAAGATAACAAATTACTTACTTCCAAAACCAAAAAAAAAATAATCTAACGTGCCTTTTAAACATCTGAAATAGAACTTCTGTTTCATATATCCTACTTTACATGAGTGGCATGTCTGATTCACAATGAATCCCTTTAAAGCATTATCTGATCCAGTATTTTGAAAGAAAGTTTCGTATTTCTAGCTTAAAGTGTTAAATTCTGACAACTTCGTCAACGTCCGTTGTTTTTTACATAAATCCGCAGGTCACTGTTATAGATTAATCTTAATTGAAAATAATCAGTTTTCTTAGTTTGAACCATGTATATATCATTTATCAGATATATCACCAGTCAAAGGTTTTAAGGGTACCGTTGTTATATAGGCATGCCGCTCTGCAAATGAAGGATAAATAAATATTACGCGTACAGTCCCTTTAAGAATTAAACTAAGAACTAAATATCAACAATTAAATAAGGTATTAAATATTGATTTGGAAAATTGATGGATTGCCATACATAATACTCAATGAATGCAGGGTTAATACTGAACACACACTTGTCTTTTACCATCCTAGTATTTAACAGTCTTCACTAATTGCTGGAACAAGAAACAAGGTTATAAATTGCAATCAGGGTGTCTTAGTTTAAATAAGGTTGATAAAAGGGTGTCTCAGTATAAATAAGGCTGATAAAAGGGTGTTTCAGTATAAATAAGCCTGATAAAAGGGTGTCTCGGTATAAATAAGCGTGATAAAAGGGTGTCTCAGTATAAATAAGGCTGATAAAAGGGTGTCTCAGTATAAATAAGGCTGATAAAAGGGTGTCTCAGTGTGAATAAGGCTGATAAAAGGGTGTCTCAGTATAAATAAGGCTGATAAAAGGGTGTCTCAGTGTGAATAAGGCTGATAAAAGGGTGTCTCAGTTTAAATAAGGCTGATAAAAGGGTGTCTTAGTATAAAAAAGGCTGATAAAAGGGTGTCTCAGTATAAATAAGGCTGATAAAATGGTGTCTCAGTGTGAATAAGGCTGATAAAAGGGTGTCTCAGTTTAAATAAGGCTCATAAAAGGGTATCTTGGTATAAATAAGGCTGATAAAAGGGTGTCTCAGTATAAGTAAGGCTGATAAAAGGGTGTCTTAGTATAAATAAGGCTGATAAAAGGGTGTCTTAGTATAAATAAGCCTGATAAAAGGGTGTCTCGGTATACATAAGCGTGATAAAAGGGTGTCTCAGTAAAAATAAGGTTGATAAAAGGGTGTCTCAGTATAAATAAGGCTCATAAAAGGGTGGCTCAGTAAAAATAAGCCTGATAAAGGGTGTCTCAGTATAAATAAGCCTGATAAAAGGGTGTCTCAGTATAAATAAGGCTTATAAAAGGGTGTCTCAGTATAAATAAGGCTGATAAAAGGGTGCCTTAGTATAAATAAGCCTGATATAAGGGTGATGAATGTATGAATGTATAAATGTATGAATTTATGAATGAGGCTGATAAAGGGTGTCTCAGTAAAAATAATGCTGATAAAATGGTGTCTCAGTAAAAATAAGGCTTATAAAAGGATGTCTCAGTAAAAATAAGGCTTATAAAAGGTTGTCTCAGTAAAACTAAGGCTGATAAAAGGGTGTATCATTATAAACAAGGCTGATAAAAGGGTGTATCAGTATAAATAAGGCTGATAAAAGGGTGTCTATAAATAAGCCTGATAAAAGGGTGTCTCAGTATAAATAAGGCTTATAAAAGGGTGTGTCAGTATAAATAAGCCTGATAAAAGGGGTGTCTCAGTATAAATAAGCCTGATAAAAGGGTGTTTCAGGTATGAATAAGGCTGACAAAAGGGTGTCTCAGTATTAATAAGCCTGATAAAAGGGTGTCTCAGTATGAGTACGGCTGATAAAAGGCTGTCTAAGCCTAAATAAGGCTATAAAAGGGTTTTTCTGTATATAACTGGGTGTCGCAGAGAACTCTGTGTCTCAAGGTAAATAAGGCTACCGAACTATGTGTTTAAGAGTAAATAAGGCTACAAAACTAAGTGTTTAAGAGTAAATAAGGCTACCAAGCTCTGTGTCTCAAGCTAAATAAGGCTACCAAACTATGTGTTTAGGAGTAAATAAGGCTACCAAACTCTGTGTCTCAAACTAAATAAGGCTACCAAACTATGTGTTTAAGAGTAAATAAGGCTACCAAACTCTGTGTCTCAAGGTAAATAAGGCTACCAAACTATGTGTCTCAAGGTAAATACGGCTACCAAAATCTGTGTCTCATGGTAAAAAAGGCTACCAAACTATGGATCTCAAGCTAAATAAGGCCACCAAGCTATGTGTCTAAGAGTAAATAAGGCCACCAAACTCTGTGTCTCAAGGTAAACAAGGCTACCAAACTATGTGTCTTAAGAGTAAATAAGGCTACCTAACTCTGTGTCTCAAGCTAAGTAAGGCTACCAAACTCTGTGTCTTATGGTAATTAAGGCTACCAAACTCGTACCAAGGTAAATTAGGCTACAAAACTATGTGTCTCAGTACAAAGTAGGCTACCAGACTTTCAAGTAAATAAGGCTACCAGATCCTGGGTGTGGAAATTTTTAAAATAATGAATTTTCCAAATAATGAATTTTCCAAATCGGTTAATTATATTTTTGTGTAATTTGATATTTGACATATAAACAGAGTTGTTTTCATAGATGTAGCATTTAATCGACGATAAACTTGGAAACTCATAAACAACTTCAGGGGATAATATATTCCCCCCAAAAAAAAAAAAGTTAAATTTTCGGACAAGGAATTTTTTTTTTGGAATATAGAAATTAAAATGAAAAAAGGGAAAGCCATATATGCTAGTTTTTAGTTCCATTTTATCAACTACCAAAAAATGTTGGCAATTATTGGATGTATATACTATATCCCTGAACAATTGTTCCTCAAATGACCCACTTTAGACACAAAAAGTTCATCTGATGTTGGTACTTGATTACACAGTATAATAATGTTGAATTTGACACCTGTTATAAAACATGCCTTAATTTGTCTAAATATTTGATCAAAGATAGTTTTTAATTCAATCATCGTAGTATTGTTGAACTGAAGAAGAAGGTTGCAATTACTGCGTAGGGAGATCAAATATCAATATGATATCTCGAGAAGCAATTCTTTATTCAGTAGTTCTAGGAGTCGAGTACGGAACATCTTTTAAAAATATTAAATTGGGTTTTTTTTTTATCAATATTCAACCAGATTGTATGATTTTTACACATTTTAAGATTGTTATCATGGGTTCAAATTAGTACTGTTCACCGGAGAACTTAAAAATTGAAAAATTTCTAAGATAAATTCTTGATAAACATCTTATTCTTGTAAATCCTTGATGGCATTAATTCTTGTATGCCCTAAGAACAAAATATATAGTTTAAAATTAAGTTGAACTAGTAAACTTTTTATCAAACATGTAAATCCTACATTTCTGTGATCATTTCCTTCCAACCAGTCTTCATTCATTAAGTACTTTGGTTTTCTAATTGCATATTTTGATATTTAACGACAAAAACTAATTTTAAAAAGATTGCAAATCTACCAAAACATTGAGTAAATATCCTCCTTTTTTTTAACATGGCATTTTGTGAAAATTTGATTTAAAATTGACCCCTGTAAAATGTCTAAAAATATCTGTGATTAAAAATCTAATTATTTCAGATGAAGACACGAATATAGTTAAGAATGGTTGATGTTTGTCTAGAACTGGATTTTATATTTAATTACACCAACTTCTACCATTATAATTGCTCTAATTAAACATATTTAACCTTAATTACCTGTGATACGTCAGCATTGTCATCATCATCATCCAGTAAATCATTAGCATCATCATTAATGGCCTCTGTGATGCTAGCAATGGCGCCATCAAGTGATATAATGGCGGCAAGTGTTAAAATGTCGTCTTCTCCATTATCTATTTGGAGACTAGTTGCGGTCAATGCAGTAGTTGCAGGTAGGAACACAAAATAACAGAGTGAGTCACTTATCATTGGATTTAAAGTACAAGAAGAGATTTAAACAATTTTTATCAAGGTCTGGAGATTGCTGCCTGTGTTGCTTTCACTTTTATTCCTCCATTATTGCTCAAGGTAGAATAGTTAGAAATAAAAAAATAGAAAAATATTTTATTATTATCAAATTACTACTTTTACTGCTATTACTACTATTACTACTATTACGACTATTACGACTATTATTACTATTAATATTACTATTACTTTTAATATTACAATTACTATTACCATTATAAGTATTTAATATATACCCTAATAATATTTTAGTCTGGGTTCTCAGAAACCGAGATGACAATTGTTCTCGGCATTGCTCCTTTCATAGGTAAACTTTTCTTTAAAGGGACTGTAGACATAATTTTAAGCTACCCTCCAGTTATAGAGTTCGATTCACAACAATAAATTCTGATCAAGGATGAGATATCCTTCTTTTTCTTTGAGAAGAGACTGAAGTTGCTTAAATACTTTTTTATAATGTAAAAAGTGTGATCCAATTACTTTTTTATAATGTAAAAAGTGTGATCCAATTACTTTTCAAGTTTTCAATTTTGACATTTTCTAAAAGAATAAAAGTGTTCAATGTTTTTATGTAGTTAACAGTGCAGTGGAAACCAGAAACCAGTGAAATTTAAATCGTACTTTATTTCTAAAGATTTTTTTATTTATAATTTTTATAATTAATTACACTAATTACACTAATCTTAGCGACATTAAATAATAAAAAGAAAAAGACGAGATTACTAAATTATTCCATTGTATTTTTGTTACCATTGAATAAATGTTGCTTGTAGAACGTCCCTGAAACTGATTTGATTAGATTTGATTTGATTTGATTTGGTTTGGTTTGGATTGATTTAACTGATCTGATCTGATCTGATCTGATCTGATGTGATCTGATGTGATCTGATGTGATCTGATCTGATCTGATCTGATCTGATCTGATCTGATCTGATCTGATCTGATATCATCTGATCTGATCTGATCTGATCTGATCTGATCTGATCTGATCTGATCTGATCTGATCTGATCTGATCTGATCTGATCTGATCTGATCTGATCTGGTTTGGTTTGGTTTGATTTGATTTGGTTTGATTTGATTTGATTTGATTTGATTCTAGTCTTGTCGTTTGAAAGAATAATATAAATTCCTCCATTAAATAGTATTTGAATAGCAAAACTTAATTTCAGCCTTGTTTACTGTTCCTGAGTTGGGTAAATGGTCTGATAGATGCACTAGTAGGCTGGGGAGAAGACGACCTTTTATTCTCCTCATGTCTGCCATTTTAGTCTTTTCTCTAATTCTTCTCTTCGTAGGACAGGTAAAACTATTAATCTGCTGAAGGGGACTTTAGACGTAATTTTAAGTGACCCTTCATTTATGAGTGGCATGTCCGATTCTCAACAATAGTTTTAAAAGCTATGTCTTGATCTAGAATGAATGTGATATCCATGCTTTTCTGATTGAAACTTGGAGACAAAGGAGGACCTCGAGAATTAAAAACCTTTCAAGCTAGAAAAACGACGATATCCTCCTTAATATTAATCAGACAAAGAATTAAAGATTTCCGTTGCGAATCGGGTTTTTGAAGAAAAAATATTTTGTATAGTATTAAATATTTTTTGTATTAGTCTCTAAGTCTTGAATTTAATATTATCTGTATTAGACTCTGAGTCTTGAATCTAATATTATCTATATCAGACTCTGAGTCTTGAATCTAAGAGCATGAAGTTGGTTCTACTAGCTGTAGGAGTTGTATTACTAGACTACTCAAGTCAGGCAGCTATCAATCCTTGTGAAGCACTTGTATCCGATATTGTGGCGGAGGTAATTATTTATAACGATGGAGCTAATCATTTATAGTTGCGGAGGTAATTATTTATAACATTGGAGCTAATCATTTAAAGTTGCGGAGGTAATAATTTATAGTGGCGGAGGGAATCATTTTTAGTGGCAGAGGTAATCATTTTTAGTGGCAGAGGTTATCATTTATAGTGGCGGAGTTAATCGTTTTTAGTGGCGGAGGTAATTTTTTAACTTGTGAAACAGCATTAATAAGTTTAATATTTATTTAAAATTAATATTTATTTTAACAGGTGTGTTACACATATTTCAATGAATACACTTGGCTTAATCGCATAATTTCATGTCAGAAATTCAGCTAATTTAGTGAAAATTTGAAATGTATAATTAGTTCTTTTTCACTTTATCGGTGAAACAAAAATAATTTTTTTTTAAAGGGCCCTTTCTCCTTTGGGTTAAATTTGGGTTAATTTTTTTGAAAAGTTTTTACCATATTGAAGAATAAAAATAAAAAGAATGTTTGCCCCCGAAGAAGATCTTTTTTTGTTAAAAAGTTGTTTATGTTTTAAAAGCTTGACATAAGTAATTTCTAAGTTTAATGTTAGCAGTATGGTAAATGATAAATTCCAGTTTACAGTTTACAGTTAATTGTAGCAATATGGTGACTGACAGTTCAGTACATTGGTATTGATAGATAAGTACCTGGTAGCAGTATGGTACATGACCAACCAGGGTTCACAGTGTACAGTGTATTGAGCAGTATTTTATTACATATATTTAGACTACTGGTAGCAGTATGGTACATGACCAACCAGGGTTCACAGTGTACAGTGGAATGTTGTCTGTTGGAGCTTGCTTTGGATATTTGTTGACAGCTCTTGACTGGGATAATCTGGGGATATCTGTAGGTAAATAACGATTTATTAGCAACTAGCTCAAGGGAACCCAGCACTGCCAAGGTTACTAAAAGTTGCTCCCGCCGTTTAACCGCTCTTGAAGGATTTTACCGGTAAACAACAAATTTTCTATTAAAGTCTACCCACTCAACTTCTCTCCAATCTCTCAAATCTCAAAACCAAGCTAAGAACATTCCTGTGATTCTTCAGAGTTCCCCAATCAAAATTTGAGGCAAATCGGTCAAGGGGTTTCTGAGTTATAATCGGACAAACAGACAGACAGACAAACAGAGATTACAACTTTATATATATTTAGATTAATTAGTTTAATTTATTTTAATTTAACAGAACCTGAAAATTAAGACAGAGTATAGTAATGAAACCCAGTATCGGAAACCCGGTTTTGTGAATGGTCCGGGGTCAGGCAGTTTTGAAGATACAAATATTTTTTGTTAAGAAATATAATTTGATGTTGTTTCTTACATTCTCTTTTTGTTTTCTGGTTTAAAGTTACAATCTGCGCAAATATACCCCAAAAAGGAAACTCAAAGAGTTTAGTTCAACGATACTCTATCAAATTTCTGGCTCAGGTGTGATAAGTTATAGCACCTTTTGTCATACTAATTTGACCCAGTCATTTGTCGAACTTTTTGTGTCCTATTTTTGTGTCCTATTTTTGTGTCCTATTTTTGTGTCCTATTTTTAAGTTTGTTTCCTAAATTTCAACACTTTTCCGGAAAAAAAGACGAAATATTTCTGAAAAATGGAATATGTGAATATTTTTCAAAAACCTAAGTTTAAAGTTACTGTTCATAATGAATTTAAACTTTCTTGGAAAAATAGTTCTCATAAAATTGTGAAATAAAGAAACTGTTGATATAGTTTCTAGTGACATTTGTAGAGTGGCATATATGATACACAACCATACACTTTAACTAATCAAGGATGATGGAATTATTCATAATTTCCTAAAAGGAACGGTTTTAATTTTTTTATTTTTTAAGATATTATTATTTTATTATACCATATATTATTAAATTATTAAATAATTAAATTATCATATTATTATATTATTATATTATTACATAATATATTATTATATCATTATATTATTATATTAAAAAGTTCTATTTCCAGGGAACCGTGAGCAGACTGCGTTCCTTCTAGTTCTCTTCCTTTACCTAGTCTGCTGCTGTATCACCATGATATATGCTGTAGAAACCCCTTTCCTCCAGGGGGCACTAGACATGTAAGCTAATTATTAACATGATATATGCTGTAGAAACCCCTTTCCTCCAGGGGACACCAGACATGTAAGCTAATTATTAGCATGATATATGCTGTAGAAACCCCTTACCTCCAGGGGGCACTAGACATGTAGGCTAATGATTAGCATGATATATGTAGGGTTGTTAATCGTTTTTGTAAACGATCGTTTTTTGTTTCGTTTTCAAAAACGATCGTTCCGTTTTTGGAAAAAAACGATCGTTTTTAAAAACGGCCCACTCGTTTTAAACTTTTAGAAAACGAATAGCGATCGTTTTTGAAAATGATCGTTTTTATTAAAACGATTTGCGACCGTTTTTTATACGATTGTTTTTAAAAAAAACGATAATTTGTGAAAAAAAAATTATTGACAATTATGTTAACGATCGTTAACGAAGGGTTGTTGTTAATAATCGTTAACGAAACGACGAACTTTATCAAAACGGTCGTTTTTTGAAAAAAAATACATGCAACTTTATTGAATGTCGTCTTACATGAAGTTTAACAGTTGTGGGGGAGCTAAAACTTCTTAATATTTTCTTAAAAACTATTCAATGATAAGTACAGATGCCCTTCAGGTCGGTTTCCTCACTTCGTTAACGATCGTTAACGAAGGGGTCGTCGTTAACGATCGTTAACGAAGGGTTGTCGTTAACGATGGGTCGTCGTTAACGACCGTTAACGAAGGTCCGTCATTACAGATCGTTAACGAAGGTTCGTCGTCGTTTTCATAACGAAACGATAGTTTTTCTGAAAAATGAAAACGTTAACATCCCTAGATTTATGCTGTAGAAACCCCTTTCCTCCAGGGGACACCAGACATGTAAGCTAATTATTAGCATGATATATGCTGTAGAACCTCCTTTCCTCCAGGGGACACCAGACATGTAGGCTAATTATTACCATGATATATGCTGTAGAAACCCCTTTCCTCCAGTGGACACTAGACATGTAAGCTAATTATTGACATGATATATGCTCTAGAAACCCCCTTTCCTCCAGGGGCACTAGACATGTAAGCTAATTATTAACATGATATATGCTGTAGAAACCCATTTCCTCCAAGGGGCACCAGAAATGTAAGCTAATTTTTACTATGATATGTGCTGTAGCAATAGAGATGGGCCTGTTCGGGTTTTTTCAATTTATTAGTTTTTTTTCAGTGGTTTGAAATCTTATGTTCTCAGAATCATCATTCGATTTTCCATCTTTTTTTATTCATTTTTAACTTAAAGGTGATTTAATGAATTCGTTCGTAAAAAATTTTGTTCAGTGAGTTCGTTCTTTAGTAAAATCGTTCGTTCAGTAAATAGTTAGGTTAGTTAAGGCTGGATCGAGTCGAGTTAGGCTGGGTTTTTTTTTTTAAATTTCACAAACTATTTTTAAGTTGTTAGTGAACGATCAAGTGCATTCCAATGATCAGTTTAGACATCTTTTGTGACCGATCATGTTCGTTCAAATGAACAATTTAGGTATCGTTCATGCACGATCAAGTTTGTTCAAGCACACGATTTAGAAATCAAACAGTATTTCCTAAAACTTTATTTGTTGTCCAGAACTAAGTCCGGATTAACTGAGACTGAAAGTGATCCTGGATATGAGTCCGATGAGATCCTATTCTCTGGGAAGAAGATGGAGAATATGGAACTGTTGAACCGAGGGAAGGAACGACCAGTTCTCCGAGCTGTTGATGTATCTCTACCACTACCTAACCTGCCAGACCTGAGCACTCCTCTCTCCTCCCTACATCTCAGGGATTGCAGGATATCAAGGATACCGGCCACTCTACTCAAGATAATTAAACATGTAAGCTTAACTAATCTTTTAATTTATATGCGTCCTCTTTTCTTGTTTCTGAAAGGATTGGAGTTGGACGCTTAAATATGATACTTAACAGGCAACAACAATGAATATATTTCAGTTTGTATATCTACCCCTGACATACTACCAGACTATTCGAGCTGCCCCTCCTGTACTCTTCAACCTGTTTATAGCAGATCTGTTCAGTTGGATTGCAATTATGGCGCATGGCATGTTTTATACAGGTATTCTTCACCCCTATACTATTACAAGAAATCCTGGGGCCGCATTTAATGAATTCTAGCTGGGTCGCTAAACTACCTACAAAATTAAACCTTAACGTGGATTTGAATCGGTGATTAGTATTTGAATCGGCGCTAGGTAGTTAATCGACTTCTCAGATTCATTAAATTCGGTCTCTATTTACATTTATCTAAATTAAAACAAAATTTTCCGATCGACAATTGTACAACTTCTTGGGGGAGGGGGGGGGGAATTGCATGATTCTATGAAAATACAAAAACATTTGATAAAAAAAATGAGTTAAACTAGATCAATCCGAAGATGATTATTAACCTGAGGTTAAATCTTTTGATTTGGGATAGAGAGCTTAGCAATATGGCTCAATACCTCAAGTGTAAACTTTTAAATGAAAGATTTAAGTTTAATTCCGGGGATAAGAGATTATTATGAAAGAATTCAAATAACAGTGGACTAACTTAAGCTTGTTTTTGAAAAGTTTTTAAAAAGATAAAGTTTTGACACCAGATTTTCCTAAATCTTCTATATATATAGTATATACTTTGTTGGTCTGTTTGGGTGTTTGTAACCGAAAAACGTCATAACGACTGAACCGATCGGACCCAACTTTTGTTTGGGATCTCACATGACCCTAGAGAAGATTTATAGATGTTTAATATTACTCAGAGTTGTCTAAAAAGATCTTGATTTTCGTAAAATTTTGAAAATCACGAAATAAAATGAAAATCGGCAATTTTTTCATTTTTGTTTTATCGGAGAGAAAATGTTAAAAGAATCAATAGTTGAAATAGAAAGAAGAATTGCTTGAATGGGAGGGAAACAGAGTTAAAGTGTGTTAGATACTAAAAACAAAAGTTTCTACCTCTAATTCTAGATTTTGTTGCTACGGCTGTGTATGGAGGTCAACCTGATGCTCCCTCTGGGTCAGTTTATGATATTTTATTTGACGAGGGAGTGAGGATGGGGTCCTGGGGTCTCCTGCTCCATAGTGTTACAGGTATCTATCATCAATTATACAATGATACATATATGTCTGATCATAACTCAGGAACTCTTTGACCGATTCCCATCAAATTTTGCTGGTGAAACTCGTAGGAACAACGGGTTTTTGAAGGGGTATGGACGGAATGATGGTTGATCTTTTGTTTATTAAATGTTCTTTGCTTAGGTTCCGAAACTATTACATTTTTAAGTAATTCATAAGTTAAAAATATTCTAAAATATCACGAATATGTTAAAATTATGGGTTTTTGTTGAATTTTGCAGAGAGATTTTCACTTAGTCAAGCCTTAACTGGTTTTTAAGTGTTTCACTGGTTTCAAAGGGGTCCAAAGGGTTCCAAAGAGTTCCATAGGGTTCAAAAGAGTTCTAAGGATTTCATGTGATGTTTGATTTGTTTTTAAGTGTTCCCAGTTCCCAATTCAATGTGTTAATTCAGAAGAAATCAAGAATTAAATGTTCATTTGAAAACTTGTTTTTAATTTGTTTACAGTTTTGATTACAAGAAGTGATATTTAGTAATTCAAATCACTCTACAATTACATTACAATGATTAAAGGTACATTTTCCCAAAAGGAAACTTTCCAATTGTGCAATTTTGCTCGGCAACTTCTTAAGTCTGTCCTAGTTGCAGCGCTCGGCCCCCCACATCCCATCCAAGCCTTAGCGCTCGGTCCCATTTCAGCCTGCGGGGCCTCAGAAGGCCTAACATAACTTTTGGGAAGTTGTCGTTTGGGAAATTTCACATTTTGGAATTTGCCAATTGGTAAATAGTCACGTGGAACTGCCTTGGGAAAATACCCAACACCATTACAACATTTTATTCTAGCTGGGATCTACGCTGTATTTATCCAAGAACATGTGACCAATGCGTTTGGTTTGCGTATCTCTTATCAGATTGGTCTCATCGTATTCTCAGTATCAATGGGGGCCACGGTTATGCTATCATCAAGGTACTTTCTGTAACCATTCATTTTTCTTAGTCGATTTTTTAACAGAATGTTCTGGAGCTAAGAATTGGCAGTGCTCATGATCTATTTAATTTTGATGCGGATCCGCATTGGAACAAAATGGATCCGGATCCAGGTCATGAACATTTCTTAGGATCCGGATTTTGAACAAATTTCGAATTCTTTCGATAGTATTGATACAACATTTCTAACACATTTATACATATTAATTAGAAAATATAAAGTTTTACGTCCAACAATATTTTGTTTAATTTTTATCTGAATTTTAGAATTTTCACAATTCAAAATAATTAGGATTTTTTTTTCTTCAGCACCTTAATTATAAAAAAAACTTTATGTTTTATATTCTTAATATTTACGGCTCAAAACAACTTTTAACATAGTTTTCTAAACCTTTGATACCTTTTTATTGATGATCAATAAAATTTGCGTACTGTGATCCAAAGATTGCAAGCGCTGTCTCAAGACTAACAGCTGAAATCCAGTGCATTTTAGACCTGAAATGTTCATGTCTAAGGTTACAAAAAAGTATCAGTTAGTTAGTAAGGTTAAATCAAAGACCAAAGCCGGCCAAACGGCTGGATCAAATGGGCTGAAATTTTTTTGAGAAACTCTATTCCAATGGAAAAAATCATATTTATTTCAATTCCACGGGCAACGCAGGGCACTTCAGCTAGTTTATTTATAAAATAGGGTATGCTATGGTAACTGATATATATATACATATTAGTTTGAGTTGGTTGAATCTAGCAGCTGCTGGAAGTGGACTTGGGTATGCTGTAGTGACCACTATACCGAATACGTTAGTTACGATGTACCAGGAGAACCATTCACTTTACTACGGTCCTAATGTCAGGTATGTATACAACTAAGGATCCCCCCCCCCCTCCACTTCCTGGAACCATATCTTTCACTACCCCAGGGGTGGATGTGTCCTCATTGCCCCCCCTTTACCTCAAGCTGAATTTTTATCATATTTTGACCATTTGGTACCATCAGGCAGCAAAGATTTAGAGATTAGAAAATTAGAGTTTAATGTGAGTGATCAGTTCCTTTGAAAAGTTTCTGTTTAATTTAAACATTATCTCTCTGGGGTTTGTAAGAAACTATGCTGTGAAACTAAGCAGTTTAACTTTAAATAAAGCAAAATGAAAGTGTTCTTCAAAGGCGGGAATGTCATCTTCCCATAAAGAATTTCGTTGCTAGACAAATTTCTAATGATCAATTTTTTTTTTTTTTTTGAATTGAAAATATTTTTTATGACACTTAATAAATGTGATCATAGGGGAGGAGTAGGAGAAGCAATTGCAATATTAGACAGTGGATATTATCTATCACAGGTAAAAGAATACGTTGGATCCGCAAAATTTTGGCTTCCTGGATCCGGGTCCGTAAAAATATGCGGATCCACGGGGCAAAATGTTAACCAAAAACTGCAAAAAATGTTTTACTCTCAAATCTCAAGTCTAAACTGTTGAAAAAGAGAGATTATAAAAACTTCCTGATCTCTGAATGGTTCGGTTTATCAAGTTTTAGCATAAAACGAGCGAAACAAGAAGAAAAATAATTTTACAATTCTGTTTTGTTAAGAAACGTTCAGTAAATCTTAAAGAAATGTTCGTGCTCTGGAAACGGATCCCTTTTTTCCCAATGCGGATCCAGGATCCGGATCCGGATTTGCATTAAAATTAAATGGATCCTAAGTACTGATTTGTATAATATTTTATTGTGCTAAATATGGTACGATTAGTAGAAATGACTGGTTTACCACACTACTATATATATATACATTATTCTACTAGATATGCCTATCCCTTGTAATGGGACGATTAGTAGAAATGACTGGTTTACCACACTACTATATATATATACATTATTCTACTAGATATGCCTATCCCTTGTAATAGGACGACTAGTAGAAATGACTGGTTTACCACACTACTATATATATATATACATTATTCTACTAGATATGCCTATCCCTTGTAATGGGACGATTAGTAGAAATGACTGGTTTACCACACTACTATATATATACATTATTCTACTAGATATGCCTATCCCTTGTAATAGGACGATTAGTAGAAATGACTGGTTTACCACACTACTATATATATACATTATTCTATTAGATATGCCTATCCCTTGTAATGGGACGATTAGTAGAAATGACTGGTTTACCACACTACTATATGATTGTTTCCTGCTTGGCTGGTATACTCGCTACTATGCTGACATCGAAGGTAATTTGCCCAGAGTAAAAAAAAAATTAATTAAAGAGAAAAAATAAAGCATTGTATTTAAGCTTGAAATATACTGCCCGTCCATTTTTCTAGCATCAATCATCTTTTAAAAGTTGCCATACATTTTTTCTTCTTGCGAATTTTTCTGTTTTCACTGAATTTTCTTCAATTTTAATTTTGAATAGACAACAATTTTTTTATTTTGACCCTTGAGCTTATCTTATCGGCTCATCCGACTTTATGGTTATTGGATGAAAACAAGCTAATAAATAAACAGACTGACAAACAAAATACATTACAGTCGCTATCGTATACATCCAAACAATGAAGACGACTTTAAATTTTGATTTCTACCAAGGTTTCATCATAATCAAGAGAAGTTGTCAATTAACATGGCTTCTCTTTGTTTACTTATAAGCTTGTAACTTGATAAGTGCTTGTAAGGTTAGAAAGCATCTCTCCGCTAAACCACACTATTTCTTCTGTCATTGAACTGCAGATTACTGCAGAACAAACAGAAAGCTTAGTTGGGCGTGTTATTAATAAAAAGTCGTCTTTGTCATTGTATATGTTTCATTATTTTAGGTTGTATTCAACAGCAACGATATGAATAAAATATAAGATATCCTAGAAACAAATATAGCAAGGGTTAGTAAGTTTCAGTTTCTATTATTTAATTTAATCCATCCCAGCAAAAAATTATCCAGTATCCAGTATTCTATGTTCATTTTCACGTATCCAGTGTTCCATGTTCATTATCAAGTATTCAGTGTTCCATGTTCATTATCAAGTATCCAGTGTTCCATGTTCATCATATTATCCAGTGCCTCATGTTCCATGTTCTTGTTTAATAACCAGTATCCAGTGTTTTATGTTCATTATCTAGTATGTATCTACTATTTAGCGAAATTCATACGAATACGAATCTCTGATGCAAATAAATAATATATAACTTTTTTTCTTTGCTTACCTCTCCCCCTTATGAATTTCTATTGACAATGGGAACACCCTGTACAGTGTACATATTTTTCACGCTGTCTGAACTTGCAATTTGAATCTCTTGATCAGTCTCGAGATAAATTGTAGATCTGATTTATCTGGTTCTTACTAACATAGAAATTTCGTCTACAAAAGACGACATTATCGTTTATTTCAATTATGAAAAACTCTATAAAGGTTATTTCGCAGATTTATTTAAATTACCTTTTATAATTCAGATTATACAGTTATTGTCATGTATATTATGAAAACCTTGACTTGTACACATTATGTATGAAAAATCTAAGACGGGAAATTTAAGCATATCCCATGTAAATAAAATGTGAAATCTTTATGTTTTAAATGTTAAAAAAAGTTTAAACAATTTTATCTAGTTTTTAGAATTATGTAAGATGTTGTGAAAAAATGTTAAAGTGCTTCTAAAAAATTGCTCTCTCTAAAAATCAAAATTAAAAATGTATTTTTTGTAAACACTGTTAAATTTGTTAAATTAGTTCTAAACTTCGGCTTGGCTAACTGTAAATGTGGTAATACAAGCTGAAGTTAAATTAAAGATAATAATTATCCCTTGCGACAACAAGGATGTTTCTTTTGGCAAAATTGGTCTTAAGAACTTCTGTATAGAAGATGACTGCACTGAATTTATTTTATTTTCTTCAAACATAAACCTGTTTCTGTTTTTTTTCAAATGATGTAATACCCCACTAAAGTTAAAGCAGAATACTTTAAAAGGATCTTTAGAGTGTAGATTGTAATTTCAAGTGATCCTTCATTTGTAAATAGACAAGTTGGATTCACAACGGTACCCATAAAAGTTGTATACGATCAATTAAATGAATATCATACCCTTATTTTGAACTCTGAAAATTTACTGACTTCAATTGGGATTCTCTAGTAGAATGACTTATTGCGTTTTTTTGCTACAAAAAAAACATTTGAAAAATTTGTAAGAATAGAACATGTTTCATGTAAGCGAAAAACGATGCGAAAATTCTCGAAACAGATTAACGCAAAAAATGCGAAATTTTCGCGAAAAGATTTCCCCATTTCCCTGAAAATCCCTCACGATCCCCTTTAAATAAAGGGTCACTTGAAATACAGCAACTGTCCCTTTAAAACAGTGCTTAGGATCCATTTGATCCGGATCCTGGATCCGAACTGGAAAAAAATGGATATGGTCATTAACATTTCTTTAAGATTTAATGATCTTTGAACAGAAAAAGAATTTTAAAATAATTTTTCTTCTTTTTTTCGCTTACTTTTAAATTTTTAATAATCTCTCTTTTGTCACAGTTCAGATTTGGTTTTTGAGAGCAAAAGATTATTATTTTGCAGTTTTTATTGATATTTTGACCGCATATTTTTGCGGATCCGGATCCAGGAAGCCAGAATGTTGCGGATTCAACGGATCCGGATCCTAAGCACTGCTTTAAAGTCTCAACCTTAGTGTGGACCCTGAAGAAATGGCCAAAATGTTACCCTGTGCTGTCTAGTGAATAAAATTATATGTACTTAGTATAAATTATGTAATGTTGTTGAACTGACATGATGTGATATTGAAATATATCTTTCTCTGAAATTTCTGATTTGTTGAAAATATACTTGTAAATAACAAATATGCGTTTTATTCCAATACTGAAATTACATTCTGCAAATGACGGGAGAGGAGGAGATAGTTTTAAAAAACGAATTTCATTTGGTGCAATGGGCTTTTATAGGCATTTGTGTTTGATGTTAATTAAATTATTTAAAATCACTTGAGTGAAAGTCTACCGGTCGTATTTCTAGTCCACAGTTTTATTTGATGTGTTTTCTGCTTAAATCTTAAAATTAATTGAAGAAAAAAGAAAAATGGAGAGCACAAATATTCTATTTAAAATTTATCAAGAGTTTGTAAATCTAACTAGTTTAACAGTGGTATAAATGGAATTTTAGACCGAAATTTTATTCTTCACGCTGGGTCTTCTATGAGACGAGTTATCATTTAAAACATGCATAAGATTTCAATCATAGGTGCAATTCACTTTAGTTTGACGTGGGTAGGTGCAATTCACTTTAGCTTGAGGTGGGTAGGTGCAATTTACTTTAGTTTGACGTGTGTAGGTACAATTTAGTTTGACGCGGGTAGGTGCAATTTATTTTCGTTTGAAGTGGGTAGGTGCAATTCACTTTAGTTTGACGTGGGTAGGTGCAATTCACTTTAGTTTGAGGTGGGTAGGTGCAATTTACTTTAGTTTGACGTGGATATGTGCAATTTAGTTTGACGTGAGTAGGTGCAATTTACTTTAGTTTGACGTGGGTTGGTGCAATTTACTTTAGTTTGAGGTGGGTAGGTGCAATTTACTTTAGTTTGACGTGGACAGGTGCAATTTAGTTTGACGTGGGTAGGTGCAATTTACTTTAGTGTGACGTGGGTAGGTACAATTTACTTTAGTTTGAGGTGGGTAGGTGCAATTCACTTTAGTTTGAGGTGGGTAGGTGCAATTTGCTTTAGTTTGACGTGAGTAGGTGCAATTTACTTTAGTTTGACGTGGTTAGGTGCAATTTACTTTAGTTTGACATGGGTAGGTGCAATTTACTTTAGTTTGACGTGGGCAGGTTCAATTTACTTTAGTTTGACGTGGGTAGGTGAATAACTTTAGTTTGACGTGCAATTTACTTTAGTGTGACGTGGGTAGGTACAATTCACTATAGTTAGACATGGGTAGGTTCAATTCACTTTAGTTTGACGTGGGTAGGTGCAATTTACTTTAGTTTGACGTGGGTAGGTGCAAATTCACTTTTGTTTGACGTGGGTAGGTACAATTCACTTTAGTTTGACATGGGTAGGTTCAATTCACTTTAGTTTGACGTAGGTAGGTGAATTACTTTAGTTTGACGTGCAATTTACTTTAGTTTGACGTGGGTAGGTACAATTCACTTTAGTTTGACGTGGGGAGAAGTTCAAAATATATTCTGCTCAAACCTTAAAAAATTGAAATGAACAAAAAGGAAAAAAATTGAGTTTTTTTTAAAAACATAAAAGTTTATACAAGCGAGTAATTGAAAATTACGAATATAATTTGTAAATAGCCTAAAAACTTAAATAAGCAAAATTAATTAAAAATAAATTTTAAAATGACAGCTCCTGCTAAACTATGTGGTCTTGGTGTCCTCTCTGCTCCTTTGATCTGTGGTCGAACCTTTTGAAATGTTAATCCCTGGATTAATATTCGTCTATCAGAAGGATTAAACTAATGCAGCTTAAATATCCCGTCATCAGAACCCAGTAATGAAAATTTAAACTAAGGAATCTGTTTCAGAAGTTTATTAGTTGCGTTTAGACTTTTTAAAGTTAAAACTCCATTCTAAAAGTCGTCTTTCTATTTCAGAGTTTTCTAGTTATTACTGTTTTCAATTATTTTCTGTTAACTACGGTATATATCTTTTAAATGAACTAATTACCAGAATAATGAATCGTCTAAAAATGTGTATGTATGGTGTATCTATGACTAGCTCCAGGCTAGATTAAAAACAGTTTTGATCGTGTCTATATTGAATACAAGTTAGACCAGAGCCTTCCCCCCTGCTGATACAGGGTGTTACTTTAAAAATGGAAAATTTTCCCATTTAAATCTCTTCTATTGTGACCCTTGCAGGCTAGGGGTGAGAAATATTTGCTTTACCCATTTTACATAAACAAAATAGTATTCCATTTGGAATTCTAAGGCATGTTTAAAAAATACATTTTCGCAAAGTTCAAAAATAGGCCCCTCATATTGGATTCAATGATAAAAAAATCAGTAGAGTTAGTGAAAATGAAATGAATTTTTCACGTTTTTTATCATTAAACCCCTAATAGAATATATTTTTTATCATTTAACTCCTAGTAGAATATATTTTTTTATCATTTAACCCCTAGTAGAATATACTTTTTATCATTAAACCCCTAGTAGAATTTATTTTTTATCATTAAACCCCAAGTAGAATATATTTTTATCATTAAACCCCTAGTAGAATATATTTACTATCATTAAAACCCTAGTAGAATATATTTATTATCATTAAACCCCTAGTAGAAAATGTTTATTATCATTAAACCCCTAGTAGAATATATTTATTATCATTAAACCCCTAGTAGAATATATTTATTATCATTAAACCCCTAGTAGAATATATTTTTTATCATTAAACCCCTTGTAGAATATACTTTTTATATTTAAACCCCTAGTAGAATATATTTATTATCATTAAACCCACGGATATATAATAAAATGGATGGATCATAGACGAGTTTCGATGTAATTTTCTGGGTGGGGTGTTATGCAGTACATTGGAGTTCTAGCAGACAATGGACCCTGGACCAGCTCTTGCATAATTCCTTTCTTATTTAGCCAAACTGAATTTTAGAAGAGGGGGGTTTGTTTAATTCCCTTGTGTAGTATTAATGTTTAAACTTTATTTCAAAGATAGCTTAATTATCGTTGCCCCCCGACCTTTTTTAAGGCTTAAACATAAATAATACTGAGGATTCAAAATAATAAATATATTTTTGACTATAAGAGTAAGAAGGTGTGGGGGGGGGTGCGAAGCCCCTTCTACTAAGAATAACACTATAAATGCCACCCACCCTTGAAAGTTACGCAGGACTATACAGTATACAGTGGGAATGATTCATATTTTTTTNTAAAAAAAGTATGCCTGATCGTCTAGAAGCCAAATATTTTGAATTTACAGTTCAAATTTTGTCCCCCTCCCCATAGGAGCTTCTAGGGGGGGGGGCAAAAATGTATGCGCTACACGCAATTTTTGCCCCCCCCCCTACATTTCATTCTGTATACGCCCTTGAAAACCCCATATATTTTACAGTTTGTCGCACTTTTGGACCTGTAAATTTCTGTTTTTACTATAACCCCTCTCCCTTTGCACAATCACACAAATTTTCAAATTTGTTCAAATATCTAAGAAAAACCCATTTATTTTACCGTTTGTTCAAGTTTTTCACCTCTAAATTTTCGTTTATATGTACACTGTACAGTCACACAAATCTTTTAATTTTTAAAGAAGTTTAAAAATGAATATAACATTTTTCGTCAAAATCAAAAAAAGTTTACATTTATCGAACTTTTTAAAACAAAAATTGAATCACATATTACCTTGAACTGCTAATGACTGGGGGTTAGAGGATGGCATGGCTCCAGGTCGTAGTCTTTTAGAAGCCCTATTAAGGTCATTAGGAGAAAAATGGTCTGAGCATATCACACTCCATTTTTTCGGATTCCAGGAGGAAGGTTGGCCTGTAAATTTCGCCCATGCTACTCTTAGGTCATTTTTCGGGAACGAAAAAAAGATTTTATCTTGACAAGTACTATTATTTTCACAAGATATTACACTGCAGTACCTCATGTTCATACATCACAGGGCCCACTGTTTATCAACACAGCTGTACAACTTTCCTACTCTATGGACCCTGAACTTTCCTTCAGATATTAATTCTTTGTAAACAAAAAAAACTATTTTGAATAAAAAAAAAATAAAAAATTGTATAAAAGAAACATTAAAAAAAACATAAATATGCCCCTAAAATAAACACAACAAATCTAGGGTCCGTTTTTCTACATCAGCTGGTAGGCCCATGGAAAAAATTACCAAAATAAAATTTGTACTGTGGCCGAGTTCAGTGTAGATAGATAGATAGAATCATATCTATAAGCGGGCCGTGATCCAATACCTCACGTTTCTAATTCTTGATTCATTTTCCCAGCATATCTTTCCTCTCTCATTACCACCGTTAAGTTTTGCACTTCATGAGGAAAATAACCCATGAAAATATTGTTTAGGCATTAAAAGATCTCCAAGATCTAGTAAAAGATCGAAGATTAAAGCAGCATGGATTTGAGCTTATTTGGATTAAAGTAAGTATGGATCAAATTGTGAAAATAAAATTATTATAATGAGAAATAAAAAGACTAAGAACTGAAGTCGCAATGCTATTATTCATGATACGTTGCCCGTTGGTTTTCATAGATTCTATATAATGTTAAATTATAATTGATTTTCTATCTCGTAGACTAATTTATTTGTTGATTAGGTAAGTGATCTTTTGGAACCTAAAATCGAGGAGAATACTCGTCACGTTGTTCTCGAGTTTCTTCAGGATCTTGTTCAAGGACAATATCTGACACTAGATGTTATGAGAGCTGAAATATTCAGGTTTAATTAAACAATAATGAAAGACAGTTAACGGACAAAATTTGTCTCTGCTCTGTTTTTGAAGATGTTCGGTAAAAAAATACTCTAACTTCGTCTTTTTTCTTAATATTACAAAAAGGGGAGACAAAATTGAGTAGTGCTAATTCGACCAAAAGTTTGGAGGTAAAATAGGAATTCGTTTTGTAGATGATGAAAGAATATTTCGTTCTTCAATGTCGGCAAAAATTGATTATGTTCAGATTTTTAAAGAAGCATACAATTGATGAGGATCTAAATCACAGAATAAAACTTCTCTCAAACTTAACAGAAAATGGAAAAGATATTTTACATTTCGAGGAAGAGGTGACTATAACTAATAAATCTATTTACTAACATTTATTCATTTTACAATATTTGCAGTTCTAACTTGTAAAATCCTAGGATATGCTGTCTTGACCCCTTCCCCTCTTATTTTACTACACAGCAATCTCAGTGACTATCAGTCAAGAATATTGTGTAGAATTATTTTTCTTCAATTTTCTTTAAAACATTATTTTGTAGATGGGAGTGTTGATGTTGGAATTATTAAAGAAAAGTACGGATAAGCAGGTAGTGTCTTTTTATCTTTAGTACAGTGAAACCCTTAATAACGAATACATCGAAAGAATTCATCAATTTTCGTATTCGTCACTTTGTGATAATGGAATGTTGCAGATATTTAGTTTTTTTATGAAATGATTATATGGAACTCATTAAAACTGTTCCCGCATATTCATGGCTATTTATTTATTTTCGAAAATACTGAAATTTACGTAATATAGTATAAAACCCATTGAAAAATTGTCAAGACGACATTTGCTAAATTCTTCCGATGTATTCGTTATTAAGGGTTTCACTGTATTTCCGCAGAGACATAGTTTTTGTCAGAGAACTGCAAATCATGGTGTTTAAAAAATATGGAAAATAGTCTAAAATTTAGCGAACATCACGAAACCTAAATTAATGGAATACTAAAGATGTTTTATGTGCATTGTATCAGGGTGAGTGTAAGGATATTCTGTCTCTAACCCTGAACCTTGTGAAGTTCAACTCTGCATATCTGGACCCTGATATAGTTTCTAAATTAATCCTGGTACTATCCTGGCATGCCTGCACTACAACCAGGTCTGTTACCGTACAAGGTTTTTTTTGGAGTGGGGCGTAGGATGTCAATTTTGTAAGTATACACTGTACAGTGTACAATGTAGCATAGCATAAATTGTTATATTAAAAACTTACTCCCGATTTCAATTGGTTGAAAAAATTCCAAATATTTAATTCTAACTTTATTCATTAAAAGACGAGATAATAATACTGGATTTAAAACACACATTTTCAGGAAAGCCCAGAGGAAAACTATTTATGCCAACATTTTCCATCTTTTTTATAAACATATTTAAAAATTCAGGGATGCAGAGATAGTGTCAACTCTGGAGATATTCAAGTGTATAGTGATGTATAGTTTTATACCTAGTGACTCTCTTCTACAGTTTGTATCATGTCTCTGCAGAGTTGTAAACCTCAAGGAGGTGAGAGTGTTTTAACACGTTGTTCATGAGATTGTAAGCGTAATTTAAATTGACCCTCTTTGCAAAGATGCCAATCAGGGTTGAAAACAAATCCGGGTTTTTTTTTTAACCAGCCCAGTGGGTTTTATTGTTTTTTTTTGGGGGGGGGGGATTGGGTTTTTTGTGATTTTTGTGCTTTTTTGGGGGTTTTTTAATTTGAAAGTAGTTGAAACCTACTAAAATTCATACTAATTCATAATAATACGACTATTTAAGTAATAGGTAAACTTTAAAGTTATGAATAATAATACTAATGTTATGATGATAGGATATTATCATAATAAATACTCTTCATAATAGATACTCTTCAAATACAATAATATCACCTCCCTTCTTCATAGGTGGCCTTTTTAGGGGGAATACTGCAATTTTTTGATATTATAGTTCTATTTAGACTACTTCTATTTTCTCACTTGGATACATATTTCTGATTGAGGGTGGGGCTACTCAGCTTAATCGGTAGATATTTATATGCTCAAGAAGAAAGACTACTGTTAAATACCGAAAAACTTCAGATCTCTCACACATAAAAATGATTAAGGGATTTTATATCCTAATTCTATCGCAACATATTTTGAAAACTCATGATAAAAGAATAAATGTGTCAGTTTTATTGCTGTAAACTCCCTAAAAATCAATGCAGTTAATAGTAGACCTTATTTTTTAAGAGTTTTTCATTTTAAGAGTGAAAAAGGAGCAATTATTAGAAAAATTCTTTAAAAAAACAATTACAGAAGGGTTTTTAAAGTGGGTTGTATTGGTATTTTTTGGTTGGGTTTTTGGGTGGGTTTTTTCATGCAAACCCTCATGCCAAGTTCGATTCACAACGGTAGTCTTGAAACCTTCATCTGGTCAATAATGTGGAAGATAGTGTTTTATTCTGATAATTTCTGTATGTTTTCCTGCAGTATAAATGCGCCAGTGCATTTTGTAGAGGAACCACAATGGAAAATAATCAGTTTAAAAAATATAAACTTGGAATGGATATCTAATTTATACTTGATCAGACAAAGCTTTTAAGGGTACCCTTGTGAATCGGGCATTGCAATCTTATGAAGGGTCACTTTAAACTACGCTCACTGCGATTTAATGGTCTCACGCTCTCAAGCAAAAATCGTTGAGAATTTTGCCAATTACTTCTAAAAAACCATATCTAACAAGAAGTGCTTTACATTGCTAAAATGTACATGTAAAGGGCTACAGAAAAGCATAAGTGAGTTAGAGCGGTAAAATCAAAGCTTAGGGCGTTGCGACAGTTCAAAGTCAGACCTGTCTTAAAAATTGATGAGACTGTTTATAAGGAGGCTGAATCTATGTGCGCTTACAGCTACTTTTGAGGGAACATTTGCATTTTTTGAAATAGGGGAAAGAAAACACTGAAAATAAAGTTTTATTCAAAATTATATTTTACGAATATTTTACTCCCTAGTTTACCAGTATTATTTCCCCTCTTTCCAGATTTTCTGTATCCCCTGTTCTTATTTTCTCCTCATTAGTTCAATCATAGAATGTCATGCCATTAAATTTCAAATTGCTTTATTTCTCTGGTTAAAACGATTTCATTTTAATATTTTAAAACAATTTATTCTTCATTAAACTCGATCTTGTTTCGATAAGTTCTCTCTATTTTAGGTTTGTCAAGACGCATGGAACACAATGCGAAGTTTGATGGGAACCCATCTGGGCCACTCCGCTCTGTTTAATCTGTGTGTTCTGATCCAGTCCTCACCCGATAGGGTGGATGTTGCTCTTGTCAGGGGGGCAGTCTTCTTTATAGGTACAAATATATTTTAGAACTCAATTAGATCATAATTTAACAAAAGTTTTTTTTTAATAGATCAAGATCTGTTAAAATTGTCCCGATGTTTATCTAGAAAGTATTTGAGAGACTCATTTGAGTGTAAACCGTGGGAAGCTATTGTTTAAAGATAAAGATAAAGAGATTAAATCTGTAAGCCTCCCCATTTTGAGAGACCCAGACCGCCCAATAGGTTAAGCACACTTAGATCCAATGCGGTTGAACTAATTTTAAATTTTCTGTTAAATCTATAAAAATGATTGGATCGACCAAGTACAATCGATGAGCTTAAAATGAAAATTTCTTTGAATATGTTTATACACGGTACACAGTACACACTAAAACATGGAAAAAAGAAGGTCTTGTTGTAGTTACATGTTGTTTGACAATTACTTTGCCATCAATAATGGTTTTTTTTTCTTCTACAGAAATGGAAATTAATTTGGCGGTTTTTTGAAGGGGGCTCGGCCTAGATTTATTTATTTATATACTTTTAGGTTCATCTTTGTGGGGTAAACAGCATGTTTCTACCTTAAAATATTCCGCCATGACAATCCTGCCTGTGTTCCTGGAGGCCTTGAAGCAAGGACATCCCCTGGTTATTTACGAAATTGCACTACAGATGGAGTCCCTGGTAGTCCTACAGGGTATCTTACTCAATGCTCCAGGCTGGGAGGAGGCTGTAACTGTTCTGGATAATATTGTGGCAAATCTTGGACTCTGTGATGCTAGTCTTAAACCAATTGTTGAAAATCATCTTCAGGTAAAATAGCAACGTTTGCAAAGCCTCTTAATTCAAATTGTGTCGATAACTATTTTTAACTGTATCTTAAGAAAACGAAAAAGGTTTATTTTCTGGTTTCTTGAAAATGAACAAGCGGCTGTCGCTATTTAGTATTTATATCAGTAAATTCGTAGAGTTAAAAACCTGAAATCACCCAAAGCATAAAATGAACTGATGATGAATTTTTTACTCTTGAAACAAATTAGATATTTAAATTAATTTTCTTTAGACAACAATAGTGAAACTTGAAGCCTTGGCAAGAAACAAGCAATATCCAGGTACAATATTGGTTTCTATCGGACTTTCCATATATTGTGGTTAGATTGAAAAGAGTCTAATGTTGAAATAAATCAAAGTACAACTTTTTTAACTCACCCAAGGTAGCCTTTTTGCTTCATATCAGACAGATACTGGGCATTTTTTAAGGGCCATTGTCATTGCCCACGTTACATTAGTAAGTATGCGTATTGCGGGAAAAAAAACTTTTACATGTATTTTTAGCGTTCTTTCTTTTATGTAGTTTTCTTATTTTGCAGGGAGCAAGAGTCGATTGTTTGATTTAATAGAAGAAGTTTCTAATTTGTGCCCGGAACAGAGTGTTCTGCATCTGTTGAAGTACAGGTACGCGTTTCAGCACATTTTTATGTGTACAACATGCATACATAAATTGTCAATCAGTCAAGGGCCTTTATAGAAATAAATCTGGTACACATACAGTCCAATTACCTTGCAAATACTACTTTATCTCTCGATCCGACAAGCAGAGAAAAAAGTTGCTTATTTTTCTTGAATGCATAAAGCACTTGACGCTATTTTCAAGTTGAGAAAGTTTAAAATTAATAAAAGTTTAAAAAAAATAGGTCTGAGTATCTGTACCCAGCTAGACCTAACTGGATTGAGAAGCTAGGACAACTAGTGGAAAGGTGATATTGTTATTTACCTTTTAGGTAACAGAACATTTTCTATATAATAAAGCTCTTCGCTCATGATATATAATTTGTATATTTGTGTATATAGCTGGTTAAACGGCTAGACCAAATTGGCTGAATTTTTTTTCTTCAAAATTCGTATTTATTTTTATTTTACGGGCAACTCCAGTCACTTCAGCAAGTTTTACATATAGCTTCATAACAGAATATTCAATTTTGATTTTAAAATTTTGTCATGTTTAAATGTTTTAAGATTTTATGAGAGAGATGTGAGACAGATGGTTCGGTTAAAGATGCTAAATATCTTGAAGGACACCGTTATCACTAATATTCTCATGTATGAGGATAAACTCTTGGAAACTGCAGTTCTTCCTTTCCTTACTGGAGTTGAATCAGAGATTGACAGGTGAGACAAACTGTTTTTGGATCATTTAAAAAAGGAATTAAAATCATAATTTCTCTGAATATGATGTTATTGAACAGGAAAGTGAAAATGAAGAGTGTACAAACAATTGCTGAAATAGCTGTAAAAGCATCAGGACCTCATCTTAAGGTATTTACGTAGTCCATAAATAATAATCAAGAGTTATCAGTAAATCCTAATTATGCTATTCATGTAACTACTTGAAATGATCAGTGATTAGGGTTCAGGCCAATTTTATACGGATCGAGATTCCAGGTGTGACCCTACCTAATTAGAAATATGGATCTTGGACTAAATATTCCTATTCCTTCGACTCATTTCTTATATTAAAGTGAAGATTCAAATTAATTTACTTATTTCGCTGAAATTCGATCGGCCAAGAAGAGATCAATTTTGTTGTTATTTTAAAATTGTGTAATGGATTAGTGGATCCGCATATTGTTCAGGAATATATACATTTTTGTCCGCTGCATTATTAAAGAATTAAAGTCAACATTACAAATAATTGTTTAAAGATGTTGTAATTGTAAATGATGAAGGACCTGTTGGATATCCTGGATAAGCTGGTCAAGAAATTAGGAGACTCTGAAACCAGGCAGGACACCGCCATTCTCTACAATAGGCAGGACTTCCTGCACTGCCAGGAGGCTGTCCTTGGTATCATCAATATATTTAGGAAGAAGTTCTATCAACATCCAATCTCTAGCGTCAAGAGATGTTGCGATATTCTAGTAACAGTTCTAGAACATATATACGGATCTCCAGCTATTCTAGAGCATACAGGTATATTCTACTAACAGTACTAGAACATATATACGGATCTCCAGCTATTCTAGAGCATACAGATATATTCTACTAACAGTTCTAGAACATATATACGGATCTCCAGCAAAGATAATATATATATAGATACGCTGGCAGGTAGAAATTTGAGGTCTTGAGAAAAGGTGCAATCAGCACCATCTCTGTCGTACGCATGGCATTTTATCCTCTGGATTGTTGCTAATTTATCACTTCGTTTATGCGTGATAACACTAAATGCGTACTACAGTATCAACAATGTATACTGCATATTGTACTTAATGAAACAAGTTAATCAATGCAAATAAAACTGAGGTAGGAATTTGACTAGACAAAGTTAAAATGTGCAAGTTGTACTGAATGGCATACGTAAATTAACGCAATTTAAATAAAAATTATGACTATAAAAGTACATCGAATCTAGGACAAAGTACAACTGATCTGATCATAACATAAACAAAACGCGTACTGTATGTTTGTGTTACCAAGAAAATTTCTTTAACATGTCTGAAAAACAGGTCAATAAAGAGGTAACAGAGTATTTAAAGTTGGGGAGAAAATTCACTCCCTTCTGCAAAATAGAGGTGCGAGAAGAACTAAGGAAATTCGAGGAAGAAATCACACAGGTGATTAATAACCTATTCAGGATGGAAGCGAAAAAGATAAACACAAAAAATATCTTCGTCAGGATTAGACTGTTAATTAAATCCAAAACTGTTAAACATTCAAATGATACAAAACAATTATTAAATTCAATTTTGAGAAGTTATAAAACAGAACGAATATCTTTTAAAAAGTTGTTGCAGCAAAAGAATAAAATGAGTTCGCTTAAAACTGAAAAGCAAATTGAAAACATTTTTAAACCAGGAAAAAGCCAGATAATAGTTGCGAGTGATAAGAATATAGGTTATGTGTGCTTGGATAAAGATGATCTATTATCACAATATTTAAAGATAAATGAGAAACAGCATTTCGGGAAAACTAACATAACGGAAACTTGGTACATAAAAAATGTTTTAAAATTTCTAAAAGAGGCAAGTCTAAATATACCTTTAGAACTAGGAAATATTGTTAAAAAATTCGATTTTAATTGGATAGAAAAAACAGCCGAAATTGGAACACTGAGATTGATGCCGAAGCTTCAAAAATTAAAAGAAATTAATAAAAGCACTGTAGAAAATCTTACACCAGCTATACTAGAGCATACAGGTATATTCTAGTAACAGTTCTAGAACATATATACGGATCTCCAGCTATACAAGAGCATACAGATATATTCTAGTAACAGTTCTAGAACATATATACGGATCTCCAGCTATACTAGAGCATACAGGTGGTATATTCTAGTAACAGTTCTAGAACATATAAACTGATCTCCAGCTATTCTAAAGCATTCAGGTAAATTATTCTAGTAACAGTTCTAGAACAAATCTATTATATATATATATATATGGATCTCCAACCATTCTATAACAAATTCCTTTATCTGATTTAGTTATCTATAAACTTTCCATTTTTAAAATGTCTTTCGATGAAATGTCAGGCACCGTTTTAATCCTCACTTTTCCATTTATATTTGCTTCAGGAGAAATTCGGCTGGAAATATTTCGATGTTTTCTGAGTTTACGAGCGAGGCATGATTATCATATGGGGTTTGTAAGGTAAGGCAACAAACTAAGTTCCAATAAGGTTTGTTAAGTTATAAATAAAATAGTATTTGATTTTCCTGTAGATTTGTTTTAAACGAGAAATACCGAGGTTTTAGTTTGGCCAAGTTTAGATACTAAACATTTTGAAAACAGCAAAATATAGCCTGCAGTATGCTCTTTTATGCATTAAAGTTAGTAAAAAAAAATCAAACCAAAACCTTTTATCAAATGTTGCAAAGCTTTAATTTCTTTATTATAGATCTTTAGTCATATTTGTAATCGGAGTTATTTCTGATGCTCCGCTGTCTGTGTTATTTGGAATGAACCTTTAATCAGATAAAAAAAATGTTTAGGGATTCAGATGAAGCTGGTTCAGTTAGCTTTAGTCCTTATGTTATCTGTGCACAGCGTAAGATACCGGGACAACATACAGTTGCAGTACAATCACATTCAGATAAAGGTTAGGAATAGTATACAGTTGCAGTACAATCATATACAGATTAAGTTTAGGATTAACATACTGCTGCAGTACAATCATATACAGATAAAGGTTAGGATTAACATACTGTTGCAGTACAACCATATACAGAAAATGGTTAGGATTAACATACTGCTGCAGTACAATTATATACAGATTAAGGTTAGGATTACCATACTGCTGCAGTACAATTATATACAGATTAAGGTTAGGATTACCATACTGTTGCAGTACAATCATATTCAGATAAAGGTTAGGATTACCATACTGCTGCAGTACAATCATATGCAGATAAAAGTTAGGATTAACATACTGCTGCAGTTCAATCATATACAGATAAAGGTTAGGATTAAAATACATACATAAAGGTTAGGAATAGTATACAGCTGCAGTACAACCATATTCGAATGAAGGTTAGGAATAGTATACAGCTGCAGTACAACCATATTCGAATAAAGGTTAGGAATATTATACAGCTGCAGTACAACCATATTCAGATAAAGGTTAGGAATAGTATACAGCTGCAGTACAACCATATTCAAATAAAGGTTAGGAATAGTATACAGCTGCAGTACAACCATATTCAAATAAAGGTTAGGAATAGTATACAGCTGCAGTACAACCATATTCAAATAAAGGTTAGGAATAGTATACAGCTGCAGTACAACCATATTCAAATAAAGGTTAGGAATAGTATACAGCTGCAGTACAACCATATTCAAATAAAGGTTAGGAATAGTATACAGCTGCAGTACAACCATATTCAAATAAAGGTTAGGAATAGTATACAGCTGCAGTACAACCATATTCAAATAAAGGTTAGGAATAGTATACAGCTGCAGTACAACCATATTCAAATAAAGGTTAGGAATAGTATACAGCTGCAGTACATTCATATTCAGATAAAGGTTAGGAATAGTATACTACTGCAGTACACTCACATTCAGATAAAGGTTAGGAATAGTATACGCTGCAGTACAATCATATTCAGATAAAGGTTAGGAATAATATACAGTTACAGTACAACCATATTCAGATAAAGGTTAGGAATAGTATACAGCTGAAGTACAATCACATTCAGATAAAGGTTAGGAATAGTATACAGCTGAAGTACAATCACATTCAGATAAAGGTTAGGAATAGTATACAGCTGCAGTACAGATAAAGGTAAGGATTAACATACTGTTGCAGTACAATCAAATTCAGATAAAGGTTAGAATTACCATACTGCTGCAGTACAATCATATTCAGATAAAGGTTAGGATTACCATACTGCTGCAGTACAATCATATGCAGATAAAGGTTAGGATTACCATATTGTTGCAGTGCAATCATATACAGATAAAGGTTAGGATTAATATACTGCTGCAGTACAATCAAATTCTGTCCAAGGAGCTGTAGGGCTAGCTTATTGATTAGTTTTGATTTGAAAAGTTGTGAAGTACATAATTCGGCCGAACATCACATTTTAAAAAAGATCTTTAAAAATAATTATTAAAAATGCAAAACTGGTGTAATAATTTATTGTTTAGGTGTTGTGACATTATCATTAACAAGAGCTTGCAGAGCTGTCATAAGGAAGAATATCTTAAAATAAAAATGATTTAAGGCAAATTTATTTGCTTGTAAAATGTACTCTCCCTACATAAACTGTCAAATTAACTTTATACAATTTGGCCTGCTTAAGAATTCAGTGTACAATATATGCTGTTGTGATATTATATGTTTCTAGTCTGACAAGAGAATTATCACTTTATTTACGTTGCACTGTAAAAGCACATTTTTATGTACTTACTACTTATGTATGACCCTCCAGACTTGTCTTCATATTCTAATAGGGTAAATGACAGCATCCCTCAAATGTTAAAATAATGATAATTATTTGTTGGTATCCTTTAAAAAAGATATCCTTGTATTAGGTGCTTAAAGGATGAAAGAGATTGGAAGGTTCTAAACCTGGTTCTCACAGAGATACCAAGTGTTCTGCAGAACAAAGGAATGCTTGTAAGGTATATACTGATCAAGGATTACAAATTATAGATTACTGATTACAGATTGCAGATCATTGATTACTGATTACTGATTACTGATTACAGATTACAGATTACAGATTACAGATTATAGATTACAAATTACAAATTACAAATTACAAATTACAAATTACAAATTACAAATTACAAATTACAAATTACAAATTACAAATTACAAATTACAAATTA